CTTCAACAAACAAAAGGTATCAACAGGTCTCAGAGTGGGCTCGTGTTTTTGGTCTGAAGTGCACATGCACGAGGAAAAGGCCTCTAACGTGGGTGCCAGGCTGACTCTCCTCGCTGACCTAAATGAGCAACAAAGATGCAGTAAAAGGCACCAAAGAAAAACCACACTCCAGAAAAACCTTCCTTCACCCTATCACTCACCAAATAAACCACTGTTTTTAAATCGCTCCACCGTCCAGATCTAAGAGTTCTGTGTATCTTCAGGCAGTCTGAGAGTCTGGCTCTGGAGGAAGTCACCAGCAGTAGAAGGAGACTGACAGATGAGAGGGCCAGACAGACAATTACTGGCCAGGTATGTCCTTTATACCCACCTAGGGCTGGTCAGAGGAAATGGAGGAATTTATGATGTCATAAAAAAGTGCCAGAAGAGAAGTGCCTGAGAACAGGTTGTCTCTGGAGCTGGAGCCATAAAAGACTCCTGCGGCTTCCGCTCCCTCCCCCTGGTTACCACCCGAGATGATAACGCTATAGACTGAGCGCCAGTGGCTTAGAGCAGACAGATATGCAGCAACAAAACATCAGCGTATATGTATAATTAAACTCATGTGTAAGCATGCAATAATGTGGTAATGACTACCATATGAAAGTACCATATGAATATAAAAATCCTTGAGGTGGAAAGTAACAAAACACTTTTACTCAAGTACTGTGCACAGATCAATTTATGAGGAACTAAGAATTTAAATTTCCATATTGTGGTAATTTATACTTATTTATACATCCACTCTATAAAATTTCAGCAAAAAATATTTTGAGATTTCTTTGAAACAAGATTTTGAGATTTTATGTGTACAACCTATAAACCTAGAAAACCCCAGAGTAAGAGCATTAAGCAGTCAGACACAGTGTCAATGAATCAAATACTGGATTTAAAATATACCCACAAGTAACGCGTCGTAACTTTTAACACTATGAGGGACTGTTCTTTAGAACGAGTTATTTAATAAATAAGTACATTATATGGCTAATGTTTATTTGCCTTCATGTGAGATTTTTAATGCTCAATATTACATAAGTGTAGGATGTTAATACTATAATAATCAATAACTTAATCGCCAATATTGAAAAAAACCTGAAACATGATGTCTAAAGAAAATAAATAAATACTTTAGGCCCAGTTAATGAAACTGGACTGTTCCAGCATCATTTACATCATTAAAAGCTTTTCCTTTTTTTGCTCTGCACCATCAGTTAACGCTCCCTTTACAGTTTAAACCACAACAACAACAAACCTTAATACAGGAAACATCTTTAGCAAGAGAGGCACCATCTGTCAGCTGGAACTAAGACGGTGTGAGGAAGAGGAAGCCTAAAAACGTTCTCTGTAGACATAAAGGACACCCTTTCCTCTTTGCGTGCACACCAAACTCCCATCTATACGTACACAGACAAGAGCTGCTCCCGCTACTACAAAAAGATAAAGACAGACGCTCACAGTCTCAGTGCTTGTTAAAAAAAGGAAGAGAGAAGGTGGTTATTTGCTCTACAACCTCACTAAAGAGGTTTCCCATTGTAAAAAGGAGTGGCTGCACAGCCCCGTTTCCTTTCATCCCTCTCCTTGAGGCACGCTGCCTTTGTCTCACAGGGGACAGAACAACCAGCCTCCCGGCTACGCTACACTGGTCAAATACCTGGGAACTACCACTGGCCTGGTGGGAAAAACAACAAGAGGAGGAGGAGGAGGAGGAGGAGGAAGAGAGACAGAAAGAGAGGAGTGGGGGGGGTAAAGTGTGAGTGTTAATCTGAGGTACGGCGAGACTGACCAGTTCAGAAGAGAAGAGCCTGTTAAATAAAACCTATTATTAAATCTCTAAAGGAAAGAGCAGGAAGTTGAACACCTGGTGCCAAACTACAGTCGAAAATTTTTTTTTTTTTATATTTCTTGACATTGAAGAAAAAAATGTTACATATGATTTTACAAAGTTAAATCGTAACCAGCTGCTTTTGCTTTTCCTCCAGTTTTCAGCGTCAGTGCTCCTCTTTCTTCCTTATTAAAGGTAGCGACTGTATGTGTGTAATTAGGAACTCTGAGGTTAAGGAAGCCAGCTCCCTTTTTTTTTTTTTTCCCCCTCCTTTCAATTCTGAACTTTCATGCCTGTTCAGCAGAATGAAGGAAGTTCCTGTATACGTGATACTGTATAGGGGTGAAGTGAGTTTAAGTCCTCCCCAAATCCGACCGCAGCAGGCTGAATGTAAAGCTTTACGTTCCAGTCCACACGGCCTGCCTCGGCAACCAGACTTCACTGTCACACCTCATAAAGCAGAGCTCAAGCAGCAGGGTTGTGTTTAAAGCCAGGGGGGAAGATAAGGCAAAATAAGGACAAATAAGGAGGAAAATATGAATGCACCCATTCAAGAAACTGTAGAGAAAAGAGTGAAAAGCCCTCAACAAAAGCTCTTTAGCTGAAACTCTGATGGCATGTCTCCAGAACGCAGAAGAAAAAAATATACTTTCGGGACAAATTGCAGGAGGAAACGTAAGAAAGTGAAAATGCCATTGAGGGACTGTTAAGACCATAATCCTCTCTTCTTATTTCTAGTTTTTGCTTAGCTGTCGAGAGGGAAGCGAGGACCCACAAGTTTATTTTCAAATAGTCCACAAAGAATGCCTGTCATTTCCTGGCGTTCCCTACTTCCATATGAAAGCCCCCTTTCCTTTAGGAACAATGGGAAAGATTCCAAAATTTCCATGGGGAGTGTCTTGCATGGCGATACAATAGCGAGCATGTTGTGACAGAATTGAGACAGGCTGTTTCTCTCAGCTGTGACAAGATTGGCACTAATGCAATGTTTTTGTCTTACAGCTACCATACTTCACGATGAAAGCGGGCCACACAACAGCTGCACCATCTCATAAATGAGCTGAGGGTGAAGTCTAATGGCAGACCCGAAATCTGGCTTTGACAAGTCACGGGAATATCTGTTATTTCTCATATCTAGGGTGCGTGGAGGTTGCTAAATTTTAGTGTGAACCTTGAGATAAAAGGAGCTTTTGAATCATCAGAGAAATGTCTGGCTTTATTAAGCATAGAGGACGGCTAAAATCAAATTATTCCAGCGAGCAGATGTTCTGAGTTTAACAGAGTAAATTTCCCTAACCTCTTAAATTGCTGTTTTCTAATCCATAACTTTATCTGCAACACAGACAGCACACACGGTCACACACAAGCCGTAAGAGCTTCTTAATTAACCAAAAGAACGCCTTTGGTCCTGAAGTGGAGAGAGTTCAAATGCCATGTGCTCCCGACCAGGTCAATGGGCTCTTGAAAGCCACCTGGCTCGACCCAAGCAGACCTGAGCCCTTGGCTAGACGAGAGATCAGAGGTCATCTACTCATCTAGATAGGCAGTATGTTGCGATGCCTGAGGCAGGGAGCAGGGGTCTCCATTACCTAAGCTTTCCATTTAACCCAACACCGCAACGGCACACACTGAGAAGCACAAACAGACACATATGGACACAGGCTCCTGCTGCTATGAACTCATTCAACCCTTAACTTAATTTACCTGTAACGCATGAACACAAACCAAGTCTATCTGCTTAACAGCTGCTATAAGATTTGCTGTTTTGGATCCATAGCTCAACAATAAAGTTACACAAGCATTAGAGCTTCTTCTGTAAATGTAGTTAATTATGCCCTGGGAATCTACACTCTCTTTGTATTCCAGATGGCTCGGGGAAAAAAAAAAAAAAATGAATTAAAGAAGTTCGCATATTGTATTTTAATGATTGAAAAGAATGAAGGAGAAGTGAGTGTGGAGGAACTTTTCTTCCTCCTCATTTGTGCGTTCAGCGTTTGATGGCGGCAGGGAAAGAACTGCTGGGAGTCATGTGACTGTGGGAGAAGTGAGATGGGACTCCCTGATGCTATCCACTGTTACATTTTCACTGACTGGTGCTGTGTAACTATGGAGGAACAACTGTGATCATGTGGTTGAGAGCCTCTCCATTGTGATAGCAGGTTGCTTCTCGACATAATTGCCGAGTGCAGCTGATGAAACTCATCACATGCGATAATGAGCTACACAGGCATGATGATCATAGCTTCAGCAGGAGATAAGATAAGCCAACATCCAACCACCCCTCTGCCCACATTACATTTAGCAGGAAGACAGTGGCTTTGCTCCATTCACTCATCCCTCCCCGATAACTCCCTGAGAGCAACTCCAAACTGAATTAAACCGATACACGCACTCGGACAGTCGCTGCTCTTTGCTGTGAGAAGGAGGTCACTGCTTTTTCTCTTCATGAGGGACAAAGCTAAAGTGAATTATATGTAACTCAGCCCTGAGAGGGACGGAAGTGGGGCTATCACAGCTGATCACATCAGCACCTATCAGTACCGTTCACTCACTACACAGCTCTATATTAAGATCCTGCTTGACACAGATTTTTTCCCATTAAATTATGTAAAAGAAATGTAAGTGCAAGCAGTTGTATGACCGCAAACTTTATGTAAATGTTTGCTTTTCTATTAAAATCTATGCACTTCTTTTTTTTCATTCAAGCACACTGAGTACAATCCATTGCCAGTAAAATGTAGTGCTGCACTAAGCGTCTAGACCTACTATATCCAGATGGCAGAAGAATTTATGGAGACTGCCTCATTAACCTTAAGGCATATTAGTGCTTGGCACTGCAAGCTGAGAGTCTAAGCACGCAGTTTCTAAAGTCTCCACAAAAAAAAAAAAAAAAAAAAAAAAAAAAAAAAAGCCTGTCTCAGCTGCTTTAAACTACATGCAGGGTCAGAACTGAACAGAGTGGCACTTTAGGCCACTGTGTCCAAAAAAAATAATAAAAAAAAATAAAATAAACTGAGTGTGTCACGCTCATGATGAAGTGTGTTTATTTGGTCAGTGTGTATCCACTCACAGTGCCCACCCTGAAAATGGCAGTCTGGTTTCTTTTTTTTTTTCTTTTTTTTTTTTTTGCCATGTGCTACAAGCCCACATTCCGGCAGGAAGTCGGATGCGCAAAGAGTGTTTCCGTGAATTCGGGATGCGCAAAGCCATGCTTGTGGTCTGCTTGCACTATTCCAATTTCTGTCTGCATTTAAAAAAACAAACAAACAAACAAACAAACAAACAAACAAACAAACAAACAAACAAAACATTATAACCATGCAAAGATTATGTTGCACAGCACCTATGCACGAAATATAAAACATTTCTATCGCACCATTCGGATCCAGAGCTTACAGCCTATTTATTTCTGGCTACGTTACGCACCCATCCACACTGACGGATCACATCATGAGTCACGGCTTGGTGAGAGACGGGGTGGCGGCTCTGAATGAACGCTGTCTGTTTTCTGCTCTTCAGGTGTCTCACTCGGACCCTTTGGGGCAGGGGGGCCGCTGTAATGTCGATACAATGACAGATGGTCCACACAAAGCCGGTGCGCATTGTTCAGCTGAAAAATAATAGCCACCATTTATCAGTGTTCACCGACTTTCAGGCCCGACAGGAACAGGAGACTGTCTGATGAGTGAAATGAATCAAAGTTATATAGTCTGGGAGGATCCTACCGGGATCCCACTGGGCTGCACTGGCTGTTTAAACATATGGTTGAAACTTTCCAAGCGACGGAAACAGCATTTTTTTCTGTACACTGTGTACCATCGATGCGTCTCGCTGCATTATAAAAGTTGAAGTGTGCTTTAACGGGCTCGTCTTGCACAGACCAAACGGAAATCACGTTTTCCCTCGAGGCTGGCGGATGTCCTTATGAAATGACCGATGAAAGACGGGCTTTTTTCATCCGCTGGCATGTTGAACAAATTCACATGCGCTGGTTTTAGAGACGCGAAGCCGCCTGACCGCGGTGCTGAGCGCCAAGCCAGACCCCCATCATATATCTTCACAAGAGTTTCGCGGTCCTTCCATGAGCACATTCAGAGTAACCATACTTTCTTCAAATACATTCATTATATTAAAGAGGCGTTTAACTAAAGCGTCAGTTTGCACAGATTAAACAAACATCCGACCTCTCTATTTTTAGGTTCTAGTTTATGCATTTTACACGATGGCATACTTACAACATTTTTCTTCACCCCCCTGTTTGTGAAACCGCGGGATTCACTGTCCTGGCGAGGTGGACTGATGCGTTTTCTTCAAGTCTGCCACAGCGGCTATTTTCGCTCTCATCATCTCCATCCGACACCAACTCCACAGCGACTGAACGCCTGCCTCTCCGATCCACAGATTACGTCTGTTTGAGAGCCAGAAGGGAGGGTATCCGGTTTACAGGGATCACCGGGAGGACTGGGATTGGCTCAGAGGAGATAGCTTGATAAAAATGCGGGTCTGCCATTGGACGCCCGGGCAACGGGGAGGTGGCCTGTCGTGTATTATTCAGGAGAAACCGGGTGGGGAGTGGAGGAGGGATGGGGCAAAGCGGCATATGCAGACAATGCCCTGTGTCTCAGAAATTCAGATTTCATTGGTGGACTTATCCTCTACAGTTATGGCTTCCAATAATCTCTTCATATGGACTAACAGTCAAATTGGAGCACTTATGTTAAGTCTGTCTGTGGCAGCTATTAGTGATTATAATGACCTCAGAGTACTTAATATAGGCTCTGGGATCACTGTAATATCCCCATAATGCAATTTCCTGTAGGAAAAAATGATGGAGCACAGAGAAAACCTCTAACCTTTACACCATTAAAACAGTATATTTCTCTTTTTGTCTATGTTTGTCCTATTTTAAGATTAATACGACAAAAATAAAAATGTGCTAGACTAACCAGATGGAAGGGAACAACTATAAATAAATCAAACAAGCATTAGTTTTCATCATCAAACCTCAAGAAAGTCTTTGTGTGTGCGCATGTGACTTTCTGTGTGCGTGCATCCGTCCACGCACGAGTGTGTATGGGATCCTGAGTGTGTGTGTTTCTGCTGTATGTAGGCTACGAGAAAGCTGGAACTGCAGAATTTTCCACATAGGAGCAGGGGAGGAAATGGTGCATGGATAATTCTCTCTTCAGATCCTCTGGTACTAGCTCCGAGAGTACTCGGCTGAATCAATACTGCTCAAAGCTTTCTCATGTTCCCCTTCTCACATCAGTGCTACTGTTGGGAGGCAGCGGAGATCCATTTTAGGTGTTTTCTGGAGATGATGCTTTCAAATTAAATCTCCACCCCTCCTTCTCTGTAGGGGTGATTACACTACTGAATCACCCTTGACCTACAGGCCTCCCTGCAGACATACACATTCACATCCATAATACAGGCTGGGAGTTGTTAACCTGCATACTGAGCCGGTGTGTGAGCAGGCAGAGAAATCCTAATAACCACAGCGGGGGCTCTTCTCTGACCAGTAGCCATGGTGATTGAACACATTTCTCCACACAGCAGAGAGGCGGTCTGTCTGTGCTGCACCACACAGGCCTTTATTAGGCCCAGACCCTAGGACTGGAAGGAAGGAAGCACCAAGTGGAGGATCACACCCATTTCATTGTGACTCTACAATTTTACGACAGCCAGGAGGCCGTCGACCACAAATTAGCTCTTTTTTTGGAAGACGCTCTGCTCTTGTCTCCGTTAAACCGATAAAATAGCATGCTCAAATCTCAACAAAGCGGCACATCATCTGATTATTGTGTGAATTTGATGGCTAATTTGCATAACTGGTGGGAATGATGCTCTCAGAAGTATAGCACCTAGATTTATTCAGTATTCAGTCTAATTTCAAACATCCAAATGAGAGCACCAGCCTTGGCTTGATTTCCTTTAAGCTTCTAATCTCTCTTTCCTCTTAATTTAGCTGCGGCTTCAATCACAGCTCTTTCACAAATCTACCGTGTGGGTGTTTATGCGTGTGACTGCTATCATGTGAAAACCTTATAATTCCATATTTGCTACGATTCATGTTTTCATTTTAACTGAAGGGTCATATGGTCCTCCATGGGTTTGAAAAAAAAAATGGCACTGCTTTCTGATAAGGTACTCTTTACAAAGAGTCTATAACTTTCTAATGGTTAATAAATCATTTTGAATGTTTTATGGATCAGTTACAAGCTATTGATAAGACTGCTTTTGCCAGGTTGTGAAAAATCCTTGTGGCTGGTGTCTATCTTTCAATGGACCACATGCAACAGCACAGAGGATCTGGACTAAAGCCTATTTATTAAGCACTTTTTACCTCTATACATTACTTGTTAATAATGACTCACTATCATATAGCTGCATCATTTCCAAGTATAATTTCCAGTGGTGATAAATAAATAAGCACATTTACTTAAGTAATGTACTAAATCAGTTTTGTATAATGAGTACTTAAATTTTATATTTGTTTTATTTTAAGTACATTTTGTCGCTAATACTTCTGTTCTTTTACTTAAAGGTACCCAGTGAAGTATTTGACCAGAAGAAGCACTACAAAAATCAACCTTGCGAATGTTTCATGAGGAAATACATTCAGCATGTTTGTTAGACTTGAGGATATACATAATGTGTTTTTGTGAGAAAAAGTTGATGTAACCACACCGTTTATTTATTTACAAGAACTCTCCACAATTTTCTTTTCTTAATTTCCTAATTTTTTCTTTATCTTAATTGTATTTCTATACTGTAGTATTACTTGAGTAAAGTGAATAATCTGAATATTTCTTCCACCAACAAAGAGAAATTCTACAAACTGACAAACAAAAGTTGTTCTAATTAATGGCTTAAGTGGTTTTGTGAAGAATTAGTAAATGATTTCTCAACCAATAATAAGCTGTTAGTTTCAACTTTTAAATGCCTTAGAGTGCCTTATTAGAAAATGATACTAAGAACTAAGTGCTTTGACTAAAGAAATCTTCTCAGAATCAATCTGATAAACCCAAAATGTGTTTTCATCAGTCTGAAAACACGTCTGTCTGCTTAGTTCATAAAAAGATGACATCTTGTGGATAAAACCCATGTGCAGCAGAGCCTGTGTAAGCTAGACTGATGTGCATATTTACTCTTATAACCATATGTGTGTGTGATCCAGAAACAGGCCAGCCCTGGACTCAACACAAATGGAAAGTGTCCGATGTGCTACAGTTGATTTCCATGACAACGTATTAAGTTGAGGCTTAAAATCCTGGCTGTACCATACTGTGCCTGGTAAGAGTGACATCTCCAACTGCTTCAGTAATGAGCTGTCTAACATGCTGTCATCCTCTACAGATGGAGTACATACAGGCCACTCAACAATTTGAGAATCATCCAGTCAGAAACGATTTGAAAGAACAGTTTCCATTTCCAGCTTTTATGCTAAGCTAAGCTAATGGCCTTGCTTCACATTTACCTTACATACATCAGTGGCACCGATCTTCTCATCTCACTCTCAGCGAGTAAGCAAATAAACATATTTCCCTGGTTTCAGACTTTGAGTCTTACATAGCCTACAAGATCATTCTAACTTTAAGCTGAAGTAATGGACACATGCCCAACATACAGAGTCAGAGGGATTTGGGAATTCAGATATCAACTGTTTCCAAAAGTGAACTAGCAAGAAATAGCGATAAAAATGCTTTTTTTTTTTTTTTTTTTAAACGCAAGTAGCTATAAAATCTTAATTATCATTAGACACACACAGGTTTTGTTTACTTGATGGGTCAGAAAAGCTTCATATAGCTGTTGTCTTGTTAACTGTTCTCATACAGCTAATTGCGAACCACAGTGTGAGCACCTTATCTCACACCATCAACAGTATGGCACGGTCCCCGCCAACTCCGGACCACCTCCACCAACCCTGCATACAACTCTGCCATCATGGATGCCTCCTGTTGGGTTTCATTCTTGCTCGATGCCAGGAGCGAATTCTCCGTCTCAATTAATCACTGAGTTTCTAATGGAATGCTTCCCTTCAGGATGAGGCCCATCACAGAGGGGGCTGCAGTCAGTGTTGTCGGTGAAGCTGCTCTGATTGCCTGAATACACTCCCAGCTTTGGAGTCACTGCAGATGTCTGCTAATTGTGGTGATTATGGTGAACGGAGGGGGGTAGGAATATGTAATGAATTTCCCATTGCTTTCATGCCTCACATCCTTTGGTTATGTGCATCTGCTATACAAGCGGAGCATCCGCAGGGTTTGGAGACGGACAAAAGTGACATGGGGGATTGGGCATGTGCTTTTGGATGGGCATCCATTCTACCACCAAGTGCAGCCAGATTGGGTCCATTTATTCTTTTAGTTTTGTTGCCGGTTTTAATTCCTCTCCTCTCCTCTCCTCCTCCTCTCCATGATCTTATCCTCTCACTCCCTTTCTCTTTACATATGCTTTGTACGACTGTGTTTAAAAACCTTTAGCCATCTTTCTCACTCACCCAAATTAGATCCAGCCTCTGTTTGTCAAGTCAAATAAAGTCAATTTTAATTATGAAACAAGAATCACTGATTTGTTTTTTCAGGGTTTTACGATGTGAACAACTCTATCCTTAGACCACTGATTCAGCTAAGGAAAAACCCATAAAAAAGATGTTTAATGGGGGGAAAAAAGGGAGAAATCTCAGAGGAGGGACCCTCCTCCTCAACTGGCAGACATGGAATTCAGTAGATGTTGTGTAGCCTATATGAAGTAGGGAGAAGCAGCAGTAGAAGAATTTCAATATAGAGAGATACAATGACAAAGAAGAGTTTGATGTTTTATGAAATATACATTTTCACTTTCTTGCCAGGGGTTATAAGAAGATCAATACCACTAAGATAAGATAACAGCAGCTGGCTTACTTGGCTTAGCACAAAGACATGAGACAGGGGGAAAGAACTAGCCTGTCTCTGCCCAATGCTAACAATGCACTGGTTGTAGCTTTATATTTAACAGACAGATGAGTGAAATCAATCTTCTCATTTAACTCAAGGCCAGAAAGCAAATAAGCAATTTTTTCTAAAAATGTATATAATATTCCCCTGAGGAAATAAGGCACAAATATACAATATTAAGGAAATTTTAAAAGTAATAGCTTGAGCAGTTTCAGCAACTTCAAGAATTTATTCCAAATGACTCTGTGACATATAGTGTTCTAACTTCAGAAATAAAGACCATCTTAAATCTATTACATAGTCCTCAATATGTCAGAAACACTGTGTAATTTATATATTTTTAAAGGAGAAATAAAACTGATGGTTGTGCTAATTCAAAAGCCATATGTAAATTACTTGTGCAGATTAACAGCCTATTAAATTGAGAGGATTATACATGCAACCTGAATTTCTGCACATTCTACTCTTTATGGTTATCATGCCACTCTGGACATGCTTTTCTGGACATTGAACTGGAACAAATCATATTCATACATTTAGCATATTAATGAAGCTAAATATCAGACATTCTCTCCACTGTGTTGCAAATGCAAACGTTCCTGATTCATTGTGGATGTGCTTTTGCAAGGCAAGAGTTAGCTAATTCCTTTGGGGCGAGTGCCCTTCCTGTCACACTGATCAAAGACTTTCTCTTGATATGAGCATAAACTGCTCCATGCCCCATCACCGTCAATGTCTGTGCATGCGTGCGAGTTTGTGTGTGTGTTTGTGCGAGTGCGTGTCTATGTGTTTGTGTATGTATGTGAGGTGAGGTGGGGGTGTTGTGTGTATGTGTGTGTGTGTGTGTGTGTGTGTGTGTGTGTGTGTGTGTGAGTGTGTGAGTGTGAGTGTGTGTGTGTGTGTGTATCCATCCCCCATCACCAGAGGCTGTATTATGCATTGTTGTTGGCATGGCCTACATGCTCACCCAAGCATGGGCCAGTGTGGTACAGTACACACGTCTTCCCATCCCCACTGAACTCCCCTGTCGTGTCCGTAGGCCCGCTTCATTTACCTTTGCTCCTGAATTAATGCTAGTTAACTGTCACATTAACTTAGATCTGTTTGCCCGCTTTGTCAACAACATAAACTAGCCTCAGTGTGTGATAGCCAGGGTTATTTATACTTTGATACACAGCACACGCATGGACAGAGTTTGTGTGAATGTATGTGGGCTACTCAAAGCTGCAACCATCCATACATAACCTCTGTCGTATCTGAACAAAATGCACTGTTACGCAAGATTTTAAGGCTATAGGCTGCTTCTTGTTTTCTCTGCAAGAGAATGCAGGAAAACTTCTCCGCGAAAGTGCAGTAGTGGCTGCAGTGCAGGTGTTTCATTCAGTGTTTCAATAGAGGCCAAACCGTGGGCGTGGACACTCGACTGAATGAGTGCAGGGCCTTGTATCTCTGTATGCCTTCACATGTACATGTGTGTGGAGCATATATTTGACTGCCAGAAGCGAGTGTGTTAAATTCTCTTAGCATGTGTGACGAATCAAGTGGCTGGGAAAAGAGCAGCGCGTTGCATGGCCTCTCTCGGCCTCTCACAAACTGAATTCTAAAGAGGCTATCGATCTGTCAAGGTTTCAATTCATCTTTTGCTCTGCCCCTATCTCACTATCTTATCTATCTGGCTTTGTATCTCCCTCTCTCTGTATCTCCACTGTGTGTGTGTGTGTGTGTGTGTGTGTGTGTGTGTGTGTGTGTGTGTGTCTTTGTATCTTCCCCTTTATTTCTTGCTCATTTTGAATAGACATGATGCAGAATGAGGGAGAGAGATGCAGCAAGCGGGTGAGACAGATAAAAAAGAGAGAGCATCCCCCACTCGTATGTCTTTCATCCTAATCCGTAGTCTCTGTCCAAGAAAGGGCCTCCTTTTCACTTGTCTGCCCTAAAGCCTCTTATATGTGACCCCTCTGTGTCTCCCTCAGGGCTCTCTCCCACGGCCAGAAACCACAGACATGAACACACAGACACACACACATCTGTGCATTTTAGTTTATAGCAATAAACCATGTAAGAGGAGAGTTGCATGTGTTTGTGTTGAAGCAATGTAATATTTCACCCTGAAAAACAAGCAGAGGTCAGAATGCATTTGCTCCAAACACCAACACAGAAGCTGTGCAATGCCACGATTCGCAGAACTGACAGACCCTCTTACTATATGTTCTGCCCGAAGGTGAAGGCAAATTTACCGCCAGGCTGACTAACCCAGCTGCTGGGAGAGCGTGTCTCTCGTTAAAAGAACTGACCTCAATAAAGATGGACGTTTGGCAGTACGTTATGTAACTGACTCAGGATGATCCTGAGGCTGTGTGGATGTGTGTGTTGTTTTTTGTGCACTTCTGTTTGGGGTAGAAAATGTGCACTTCTGTTCGAATGTGTGCATGTGTATGTGTACGAGGGCATTCACGGTGGGAGAGTGTTTATAAGAAAATGTATGTGCATATCATCCCTTGTTAGGGACTGCATGAAAATTACTGTGCTGGGAAGAGACATAAGAATCTTATGTTTGTTGAGTTTTAACAAAAACCTCAATTATTGATATTTTCTTAGGTCCCTTTCTTGACTTCGAAAAAATGCAACACCCTTATCTAATATCTCATTAATAATATTGAACAGTATGGAAGTGGTACACTTTGTTTAATTGCGTATCTAAAAGCTATCTTTCAGTATCTTTAAGGAACAGCGATATAGCCAATGTATACTTAAGAAGTGAAACGAGAAAAATGCCTTGCTTAAATATTTATCTAACGTCGATCGTGTAAAGTAAGAACTTGGGGCAAGCTTTAGACGGAGTGTTTGGGGTCAGCCTAGGCCTGCAGATACATTGTGACCTGTATCAGTGCAACAACCATTTCACCTTCAAGCAACATTATGTGCTTTGCGCTTGAAGCCAAATTGGTGATTTATTTTGTTGATATTTGCTGAAAGATAAAGTCAGATTCACTTTATTTCTACCGTATTGTTTTTACAAGCACAGGCCCCTAGTGAGGACTAAGCACTGTCCCCTCACTGCAAAAGGAAAAATGTCCAAAGTGTCAATAGCTGGGTTTCCACAGAATTTCTTTTGGGCAACATAGTAGCAATTTTTTTCGAAAAGTTAACAAAACACACTTGCGAATGGTCTTTGATTCAACTGAGTGACGTTATGTGAAGAAAACTCCACATCGTGCAGTCTGCCTCTCAGTTGGGACTGGCACTGCGGGACATGGATTCGCCAAGCACCACAACTTGAATGCCAAAAAAAGTGTTTTCCATTTCAGGCTATTCGACAAAGTATTGCTTCTTTCTGCAGAGTTGAATTCAGATTCGATAAAATACTATTGAACCATATCCCTTTGTAGTATAAACCCCAATGTAGCTGTTTACATATTGACTAAATGAAGTGAAGGCCAAAATAATTTAGGAATCTGGTGAAACAAAAGTACAACCCCCGGAAATAAAGTCAAAATACTGTCCCAAATAGAAAACTTAAAATGCTGTCCCCCTTTTTCTGACTACCCCCTAATAATTTTCATACAGTCCCTTACTTGGCTTGGTGTGCTGTTGACTATAGACGGGGTTGTGCTTAAAACAACAGAGCTGTGGTCTTGGTGGTATGTGCTATATAACTCAGCTGAATGGTGATACTCTATTCTATAAGGAAACATACATACCATTCTTACAATTGTCATATTTCAGGAGGGTATAGAAACCACACTTCATATAGAGTTACTGTAATCCTTCAGAAGTGGTCGCACAGTAAACATATCACACTGCACTCAGCACTAAGAACAGAGAGGCTCTCTGTCTGCACTGTAGTGAGGGATCTGATCTTGGCTTGCACTCTGCCTGGTGTGACCCCACCCCTGGTAAATACAGGGTTAGAGGTTTCCTCCGAGGATAAAAATACACTTGCCTCTCAGCAGAGAGGGAGAAAAGCCAGAATTCCTCTCTCTCCTGCGTCTATTGTGCACGAGGAGTTAAAGACTTCCACACTTATCACAAGTGATTTTTTTTTTTTCAGTGGATTTGCAGTGTTGTGGGAGGTTTAAACATACAAAAGTGGATATAATGCGGCAAAATAGAAGTTATGGAGGTGAATGTTTGCATAATGAACCGTATCTCTCGAGGATGATCTATTTGGTCATGGGGATGACTGTGTTTTTAGCAGACATGAATGCTTCTTCCTGCTCTTGTCTTTTGTCCCTCGTGTGCTCCCATACTTCACAGCCCGTGACGTCATCATTATGCTGTGCAAAAGTGTTGAAAGCTGGCAGGGGCCTAGAGCTGCCACAGGTACGGTTACTGATTATCTTGACTCTAAAAGTTTGACGGGACTCACCACACTCACTGGATTTCAAATGGGCACTAAGAGCTTTCTGTTAAGAGAAGAGAGTTTTCTACCGGTTAAACTGAGCTGGAAAAGACACACTGAGTGACTTCCTTATTTAAGCTGGAAATACACAGACTAAAGTAATTGTCATGGCACTGGGAACTCCATGCGGGTGAGAAATTGTTATATAAGGTCGGTCTTTTCGTAGTGGAACAATCATACATAATTAAAGTTATCAAATTTCATGTGAGCTACTTATACTAACTAACTTAAAACTTTTTCAACATGCAGTTACAGCAAGAATGTCCGGGAAATTGTGCACCTCGCCCAAGTTTTTGAAGCAATGAGGAAGAAAATGTTGGAAAATCACATGTGATCTCTGTTAAACCCTGGAGGTGAAGTGCAACCAAAAATGAGTCACGGGGGACAAGGAAATCAGGGGACGGGACTGAGAGACATCTTTGACATATTAGTTAAGGAACCTTTGGAGCGACTGCTAAGCCTGAAAATCCAGTTGGGTGAAACCCCGGAAGATAATATCATACATGCCTTGTGTCTGATCATTCTCCATAGAGAGGCACAGGCCCTGGAAAAGCTTCAGATGCTGAAGAACAACTACCTTGCTGATCATCTGGCTGAAAAGTGGCGAATGAGTGGAGGTAAATTAGAGGATTTCAGAGTTCATTGTGGTAATTTTGAAGAGTTTACAGGAGAATCTTTGGCAGCGTTGGCTCGAATTTTTAAAGTTTTGCATGAGCAGAAGCTGTGTGATCCAAATCTGAGAAATCTGGCATATCAGAGAGCCCTTTCCACTGACAGCCAAAGAACAAGCTATGTTGAGAATCTGGAATATGATCCACTCAGAGAAGAAGCTAAAGTTGTCTGTGGGCCTGAGTTTGAAGAGTGGATATGCTCCCCAAGAGACCTCAAGTCAGGGTCTTACCATGATCCTCACAGAAGTCTGGATGAAGTAAACACAACTTTAAAAATTACCGATCAGTCAGAGAGAGCTTATAGTCTTCCCAGCCCTCTGCAAGCAAGCTCCTCAATGCCCTCATACCCTACTCATCTAGAGATGAGTATATCCCCAACAATCTCCTTTCAAGGCGACAAAATAACCCCAGAAACATCAGATAAATCCAACTCTTGTATCCTGCTTGCACCTGGGCAACCTCAGTCTTCTGAGGAGCCTCAGCCTAAATCCAATGAACTAGCTCAACTTGAAGCAAATAAAGACTCAAAGATGGAGTCCAGGAAGTGTGACCATCACATCATTCAGAATGAGACTCCAAACCAAACCACAAAGCCAAGCACTGAGCCAAAATTTGCACTACCTACTGCAACAAACACTTGTGTACCCAAGGTACCCGTTCCAAATGAAAAGCATGAATGTAAAGGCGCAGAAGCGGAGGAAGAGGTAGTATTTTATGCATTTGTTATCCTGCACGCACCAGAGGATGGAGATATGGCCGAGAACATCAAAGACAAAATTGAAGCGGTCGCTGGTTGTACAGGTGCAACTTTCTCTGAGGACTTTGCCGTCCCTGGAAAGAGCACTCTGAGGTGTGTGGAGGACGCCATCAACAACTCAGCCTTTACTCTCCTGCTGTTTACCCGCAACTTCAACACTCAGTTGGTGGAGATGAAGACAGACACCGCCCTTGTCAACTCCATAAACAAGAAATACAAGCACAACACTGTTGTCCCTCTGCTGCCACGGGAGAACTGCATGCCGAGAGAGGGCATTCCTTTGGTTGTACAGCGACTCAATCCACTAGATGAGAAAAGGAACTTTGAGAAAAAAATAAAAAAGTTCTTGATTCCAGCACACATTGAAAGGCAAAAGAAGATCTGGACTAAGGGACAAGAAGTAAAATGTCAGATAGAGAGACAAGATAACCTGAAGCAGTTGAACGAGTGTCAAAAGAAGTTGATCCAAGAGTGTAAAAAAGCAGAGTTAGAGGAGAGAGAGAACTTGAATCTTTCACTGCAACAGAATCTTCTTCTCGGTCCAGAGCAAGATGGTGGCGGCGGCATGGCCAGGTGGCAACAACAACCGGGACACATTCATATTACAAATGCTAATTACGTCATGGTTGGTAATGACTCTAAAATGAATGTGGATCACAGGGGACACACAGACAAAGATAATTCATGTTCCTCAGAGGAGGAGCAATAAACTTCTAGATGAAAATTAAAAAAAAAAAAAACAAAAAAAAAAAAAAAAACTAAAGGAAATAATGATTTCTATAAAATGTCACAGCTGTAACAAGCACAATGGACCAACCTTTTTAACCTGTTTGTCAGCGGAATAATTTGATAAGACACTGTAATTATGAGATATACTGAGCAGAACAGGGACGTTTTTAGACGAGTATTTAGTTGAGCACTGCCATCTACTGACCGACGTGTGATAAATACTTTCTGACCTCTTCAGCTGTATGAACCCAGCACAGGCACTAGGGTGCAATGCTGTTACATGATCCTCATCGCTCGTCTTTGTCCTACACAGGATCTTCTGAAGAGTCATCCAATAGCATTCCTGTTCTGGTGTCAGAGAGCTAAAAGAGATTAAATAGAATCTGAATTTTAAGATGTGCTATTTTCCTATAAGGCGTTCAGAAGGGTGTGTGCACATTTGAGTCGCTGTGTGATGGTACGTATACCAGTAACTGTGAAACTTGAAACAGGTTAAACCATCTTCAAATTATGATCATTTATATCTTTGACCTTTGTCTCTGACCTTGACTTCTATATCATCTCATTTGGACTCATTTTCATCCTTTTCACTGACAACACTCTTTCATGTCTGTAGTTACAGAGGACGACAGCAGCAAGCAGCAGGTTGTTCACAAAATCTGCAGTACATGGATACCACTGGTTGCAAGGAAATGATAAAAATGAATTAATGGATTTTACTTGATCAGCTCAGATTCGTGTTCAATAAGAACCCACCCACATTCTGGGTACAATTTGTACCATGAGTTTCCCAAGTTGCTTTTGATGGTTCAGACTGCAAATGAGGACAAGCAATGAAAAAGGCTTCCTAGATCAGGCTACGTCTTCAGTGTCTTTTTACTTTTTTGTTGATTGTTCACTTCCTGTATCTCTTGTTTTTACTGTTAGCATCTGCTCATTTTTGTATCTGACTTTGAAAAATACTTTATGAATACATTTTAATGTTGCCCCATCCATATGTTGGAGAATGAAACTATGAGTGATGTCTAAAGTTTTTAGCTGGCTGCTGATCTGGTGTATCTCTGTGATGAACAGTAAAACCCACATATGTGTTTCCATTCAGTCTTTTCAGATTCTGTTAATGCTTCAATCGATGGTGAAAGAAATATTCAATAATCCTTTACTGCAGCAATATTCACATTTGAAAATATTCAATTATAAATAATTATTGTGCTATCAAACTTGTTTAAAGAAAAATCGTCTCAGTGTTAAAATTTTTTGATATTAAAAGGTATTATACCATTAAAGCATTAACATGCACACAGTATTTTTATGATCTGAATAGGCCTGTGAGTCTAAACAATAGAAACGTGTCATGTCACTGTGAGGTGAAAACCTTACACAGTACCTGCCTGATATACAAGATAGCCTGTGGCTGATTATTTTGGCATAATTATACAATTTCATGCTTTATTTTTATTGATGTCAAACTGGGAAAAATATTTGGCAAAAACATTATGCTGTGTTTATAATAAAGGCACCCTGGCCTTACATCTGAAGGAAGGATCACAAAGGTTGCTACTGTATTTTTTTCTACGTTTTTGTAAAGTACCTCTATTTCATTTCAGCTGCTGCAGGTCAGAGTCTGTCAGTAGGTTGATAAAGTTCTCCAACCTGTCACAAGAGTTTTAAAAAAAAAAATTCTTTTGGATAACATAAAAATGTACTGTTGCCAAGAAACAACCAGGCTGGTTTTCATAGTTCAGAGAGTTTGGAAATACAAGAGTTCTACCAGAAAACGACAACATATTATATTGATCTTCAATAATTGAGCTACAGACGGATACAAGAAGTGAAAGTATGTAGTTATAAAAGTATCATCAGATATATCTCCCTTTAAAGTCTTACAAAATAGGAAATATACAAATCAATAGAACCAGTAGTTTTTTTTTAACCAGTCACTGCATTCAATGAATCCTGATATTGTCATAATTCAAACAATACCATAGACTACAATTCTGGGAAGTTTAAATGGGATTTATGTATGTGGAATTTAACTACAGTCAAATGAATCATATCTTTTGGTGTGAGAGGGATGATGTCTTTATAACTTGTCATGTTGTCATCTAAATACATAACTCGATATTTCTCTAAATCTTTCCAAAGCAAGGTAGCTACAGAAGTAGGTTAATAACTCTTTTCTTTCTTACAATATGTGCAGCATGCAGGCTGCGATCAGTCTGCCACAGAGACTTACATACAAGTATTTCTTTCTCTACTTCTCCGTGGAAACACCATTTGGGATTTGGTCGAAATTCGCCCAGCCAGTTAACTCCACCTTGGTTTGTATTATATTATTATCCACTGTGGTAACTCCTATCAGGATTGAATAGACTGGGTGGGTGTTTCGCGCATGCGCAGTGCGCCCTATCCTCCGATCAGTGCGGCAGGAAAAACGCAGAGGAGACGCGGCGGAGAGAGAGAGAGCGAGAGAGGGGGACAGGGGGAAACAGTTGGAAAAGAAAACGAAGAACAACATGGACACAAACGGGCTCTTTAGGGTGTGTGTGAAACTGTCCTCCGGTGTTGGACTGTAGCCTCCCTCCTCTGACACACAGCTGCTCCGTTATGTCGGCCAGCCTGGGGATAATAATGTCAGGGAATGGAGGAAATCTTCAGAAATCCTGCTTCTAAACCGCGCCGTGCTGGCTGGGTTTAAGGATATAACTGAAACATAAGGACATTAAAACAGAGGATGGTGCTCATGTAGCCGAGGAGCGCCCCTTGGAACTCGTCGTGATCTCCAACATCAGGCCACGCTCAAAGTTTTTTTTTTTTCTTCTTTTTTTTCTTTTTTTTTCAGGAGAAGGGGAAATTTTGCTGCATTGAATTCCTCTGGACGGGATGTCATCCGCAGTCAGGAGGAATTCCTCTGGCTGACTGCTCCTCCAGCTGCAGTGTAGCGGGATCCCGACTCAGTAAAAGATGGGAGATGCGGCAGATGACAGAGGGATGAGACGGACCTTCATCGTCCCTGCCATCAAGAGCTTCGATCACTATGACTTTACCAGGGCCAAGATATCATGCAGCCTGACGTGGCTGGTGGCCAAGGCTTTCGGCTCGGGTAGGTGGCGCCTCCTGATCGTTTTCATTTCTGGATTAGATTAGTGGAAAACGTTGTTAAGATAGTCATCTAACATTGTGTAATAATACGATGTTGTGTTGGACCAGAGGCTTTTACAAGCGGGGCTATTTTGTAAACAACAGCATGCAATCAGACTCCAATTAAACCCCTTACTCACTTAAGTGTTCCTCCCTTGTTATTATAAATAGAAATGATGAGTCTCTCTCCATTCTGTTAAGCAGCAGCAGCTGAATAAAAATTGGTTACCAAAAAAATAAAATTTCCATATGGTCAGTAATATCAAAAATAATGTAAACTACATGGCACTTTTGTCTGATTGGTTGTATTTTTGTTTTTCATATGACAGTCCCTACCTGTATGTCATGGGCTATAATCCCTAACATCACTGCTCATGTCACAGGATTATTGGTTTAACCTGTTGCTTGCCTAATGCTAATTATTCCCCCACTGCAGAAGTCAGGCCAAAGCTATTATGTAACCTCAGATCTTCACTGTCAGCTTTTACTGTTTGGTGGCTAATCAACAGACAAGGACTTAAACTTCTGTGTGGTATATCTTGGGGTGGTGGGACCACAGTTAAAACATTAGTCTGTAAATTGAATTACAAACGCAAACATTCATTGGCACCCGTCAAAACAATCTTAAAAATACTAAATGTAATAATGTAAGAAAAGAGTGGATGAGGGCCACAAACAGTGGCCTGTCTGTAGCCTCGAAGAAACTCTTCCCAGCTGAGACCAGTGAATGTGTGGGATCCTGCCTGAGAAATGACAATGAATTGCTTATTAAATACATGCTGATAAATTTTCTGTCTACTGACGAATTGATTAATCGACTGATCGTTTCAGCTCTACTAAAGTTATTCCTCTCTTGTGAAGTATAGAAGTCGTCGACTGTTACATTTTTCTTTGCTTGACAGTTTTAGCAGTTTTAGATTTGTATGTCATTAATTTTTCTATATACGTGAATTCATGTATGTATCCTCACTGTGGTCTGGAAGCAGCATGGCAGCCTGGCCTCAGAAAGACTGAGTACATCCAGCCTGCTCTGAGCCCAGAGGTTTACTCCAGCTCCTAATGAATGCATGGAACAGCTGCTCCTCCATGTACAGTACACCCGGAGTCATTGAGTGGCCGTCTCACAGACAGACAAACCTAAAAAGAGAGAGAGATCAAAAAGAGCGACCCCCTGAATCACAGCCATTGATCCAACAGTGTGAGTCAAATGAAGCTGCACACGACTGTTTTTCTCAGACTGAGGGAGGATGAAATGGTGGAGAGACATGCAAGATGCAGTACAGTAACATGTGAGAGAGCCAGGCTTGGTTCAACAAGACTTACGGCTGTTAGCATACTGCTGCCGCCTTGCTTCCCCCCCCCATCCCTTCGGTGACACAGTTTCAGCTCTCAGCGCCGCCGAGAACTGTGGCCCAATTCATAACCAGTCCTCAGAGCCTTGTTTGGCCTAGTTTGGACGGATGAGCGATGGTTTGAATCTGGTGTTGCTCAGATGTAAAAACTTTCTCATCAGCTGGAAGTTTGCCCTGTAACTTTAGAGAGATGGGTTTGCATATGCACATTTGTGCTAAAACATCAGGGTTATAAAAAAAAGAAAGAAAAGAAACAACATTAGGTACACAACTACATGCTTTTGAAGGTGGACTGATAATACATGAGCTAAAAAGAGTGGGAGAGTGCATCTGTATGTTTTGTGAGTGGGTGTGTAATGAATGTCAGAGCACAGCTTTACTGTCGCCTCACTTTTGACCTGATGGGGCTCCATTGTATCAACTCACAGTGGCAGCAAAGGACAGAACAGAGGCCGCCTCAGATATTTACAAAAGCTTGAAAGTGCTAACTGCTTATAGCCGAATGAATTTAAGTATTGTTAAAAATCAACGCACAAACAGCATTGATTTCTCTGCGGGGACTCATGTAACTGGTAGTTACTTGTCACTGGTCGCACAAGCACTCAACAGCAATTTGTGGTTATAAAATTAATATGTAATCAAATCTAAAACGTGAAAATTATGACAAAATCTGACACTTAAAAGGATCTTTGACAAATTGCATGTGGGTGAGTTTGAATTTAAAATGACTGCTCAAAGATCTCGACATAAGGTGATATGAGATACTTTCCATCATAGACATTAAACTATTTGTCCTTTTAGTCCTTGGCTTGTGCGTTTACAAAAAGAGTCGTATCATGTTGTCGAGTACCGCACAGACGCCACAATGATTCTGGATGGACGCGGCTGTATCATTCAGATCTTACCAACTAGAGGTCTAACAATTCTGAAAAACCGAGACCAGAACCGCGATACAAACATCCACAGTCTTGTATCGCGATGACAGAACACGGAACCACATGACTATTTTGGTCCAATCATGATCAAGTAATCATGCCTGCGGTAAAAATTAGGCTAGTTTCATTAGCTGAAGATTGATAATAACCTTGAGATTGCAACCCCACCCTACCCCCCTACCCCCCCACCCCAGGCGCATTCAAGCAGTGTGGGAACATTTTGGTCATCAGTCTCCTTCCCTGAAGTACAGGCACTTTCCGTGCTTTGATCAGCTGATGGCTGTGCGGTGATTTTCATGGCGGTTTGCTCAGTGTTGTATATGTTACGGTACGTTCTGCTAGCTCAAGCTGTCCACTAGCATACACACTAACATACAGTACACGGCCTGCAGAGTGGCAGAATAGATAAACGCTGGATATACAGTGCATGGATGAATTTGCCACGAGCCATCATGTTGCAGATGCTAAGAAAGATCGTTTGGGAGTGTGACGAGCGAATTTTGTTAAAGTGATAGAGAGCTAGAAAATAATTGTTTGGTGGTTCAATTCCCCCGCTTCTCCTGAAAACACGTCTAACTTAGCATCCTTGAGCAAGACACTGAACCACAGAAATGATGTAAAAATGATTGACTCCACATGATAATCATGTATATCAAGTATGAGATCAGCACTATTTCCATTGAAGACTGAACCAACACCATGTCCGTACAGCATATAAATCACAGCTAATCAAATAATAATCTAATTTCTGTAAGAACCTACCAGCTAACTAAATGTCTTTTTTTTTCTTTTTTTTAACAAAGAGCTGTAAACCAGCAAAGATAAACACTGCTGACCGTGAGGTTGTGTATGCTGAGCTGTGATCCTGGGGGTCTCCAGGGGAGCAGTCTTCTCTGTGTCTGGACTTCCTGTGGCAGCTACTTCCTGTCTGTTTCCTCTTTGATGGCCAACACAAAGGAGAGGGTTTTTCACTTGACGAAGCAGATTTTCATGAACTGAAAACCTGCTGTCCGTGCTTTTTTTTTTTTTTTTTTTTTTAAATGTCATTTATATGATTTCATTAACTTCTAAGGTCATCTGATGAAACACTTAAAAACGTTCAAATGAAAATGCAGTACAGCCTTTATCTGAAAAGAACGCTTGTATCCTTGAGAATAGTTTCTGAGTGATGACTTTTGAAAGAGTATGTGGACTTTAACTAAACATTTCTAACAAAAATACCACAGTTACCTCTCACACTGCACTTTAGTCGTCAAATTTGTATTGTCATTGGCTGCTGTAACCATAGCCACTGGAAAACTGCTGAGGTTTGATCACAACTTTAATGGATGTTCTTTCTGATCTGACTGAGCTTTAAATATTTGATTTCATTATGTTATGTTGAGCTGTTTTGTTTCTATTCAGGGGGTTAGAGAACAAAAAGCCTGTACCTTTAAGATAGGTTCCTTTAGTGTCCTTTGTTTCCCTCAGTGTGATTCAGAGAGGAAATGACCCCACGCACCAGGAATACACACTCATACTGGAGCACACAGCCTTTTAAAAGTGTGTCACCTTACACACACATGCACATTCCTATACAAGGCCCTTGTCTGACTAGCGGTGCATAGATACAGTATGTATGTCATTCAATGACAGACTGATGACTAGTATAGTGTAACACTGAGTCACAACATGTGGTTAACAGCAATATAGTACGATGAAAAGAGGAAGAAAGAAAGATGAATGAGACCTGGAGGTGTAGCTGTGTGGGTTTTTCTGTCCAGCTATTTCCTTCAAATCAGATTTACTGGATGAGGTAACAGGATTAGAAGGTGCTCCATGATCTGTAACATACACTTCCACCAACACACATACAGGCTACATTGAACTTCACACACACACACACACACACACACACAGACACACTGTGGCTTTGTGCCTGTCCTGTTTGGATCTACAGTAACATAAGCATCAACAAACACACGTGACATTGATGTGCTTATTTTTGTATCAGTGAACACTTCCTCTCAACACAAACTAAACTTATGGCTGGTAGCAGCTAATGTCCCTCTCTGTCTCACTGAAAGTGTTCCTTTCAGTGATGTTGTTCTGGATGTTTTGTTGTGTGTACCACTTTGTCTTGGTGTGTGTGTGTGACATGGACAACAAGCTTTGAGCTTGCTATGGCCGTGAAAGCTACAATGTAGGGAAGCCACAGCAACAACAACAAAAGGCCTTTAGGATATTTTTTTTTTGTCTCAGCAGTGATGGTGCTGGAGGACGAAACTAGCCCTAACCTATTTCCTCTCTGCTGTTCTGTGTCTTTCTCCCTTCTCAGATGCGATACCAGAGGAGCTGGTTGAGCCTTTCTACAGGGACCAGTACAACCAGGAGCACCTGAAGCCTCCGGTGGCCTGCCTGCTCCAGTCTGCAGAGCTCTACTGCCGGGCGGGGAGCCTGATCCTCCGCAGCGATGCCGTCAAACCTTTACTGGGACACAACGCCGTCATCCAGGCCCTGGCCCAGAAAGGCCTGTATGTCACGGACCAGGACCGACTGGTCACGGAGAGAGACCTGACCAGCACACCTATACACATGGTGAGCTTTAGATATTGTAATTTTCTGCCGCTTTCTCATTTTAGAGTTCAGCCTAATTTATGTTTTGTATGTGTGAACTTTAGCATTTATTTACTATATGCTTTTTCAGTATACAGATTTTTGTACTGCCCTTAAATGTACTCGTTCACACTTACAAACGCATATAGAAGTAACCATAGAGACACAATGTCTGAAATGGGATGAGCTCAGTTAGATCTCAGTCTGTTCATTAGTAACATGTGTAAGCACACAAGCATATAAACCAGGGCGACACGACTGAGGAATATTTTCATTAACTGTCTAAAAGATTTCAAAAATTCACAATTTCCCAGATTCCAAATTCCAAATGCTTGATTTAACAATCTAACAGTCCAAAACCCAGATATGTAAAATTTGTAGAGAAAAGCGGCAAATGCACAGACCTTAGAAGCTGGAACCAGGGAAATGTTTGGCTTTTTTGCCCGATAAATGACCTCGAATCAAATTCAAATTGTTGGCAAACAAACAATTAAATGAATAATTTCAGCACCAGTGTAACAGTGGATTTTCCTCTGTGCTTTGTGCTTTGCTGCATCTTCCTCTCATGGGGGAAAAGTGTGTTATATGATAGTGTGTTTGTGTCAGTATGTGTGTACCGCTCCATGTGTCCTACTGTTAGACTGTTCGCCAAGATATGTCCTGTTGAGAGAAAAACAACCGCTAATGACGGGTTTCCTATAGCAACCCATTACTCACTGTTCGGCCTCTGTGTCATTAGACGGCGCAGGGCAACATGTCTTAGCTCACACCACCAAGAAATATTCCTGTAATATGTTGTCAACACTGGATCCAGGACTGTATGGAAGAGCATAATAAGGCTGTGTCATTATAGATCGTTCGGTTCATTACATGATTAGTTATTTAGTCCATAAGATATCAGAAAATAGTGAAAGATTCCCATAATAAGTCTTGACATTTGTCTTATCAGCTGTCTAAAACCCAAAGATATTCATTTTACAATCATATTAAACAGAGACAAGCAGCACATCCTCATGTTTGAGAGGCTTTTTGATGGATTTTTTTTGTTTGTTTTTTTGACTCTGACCATTTTCACAACTGTCGATTATATCTTGTTGATTGGCTAATTAATTAATTGGCTCATTGTTGCGGCACTATATCATAATACTGTCACATTTTACTGGGTGTGAGAAGAGCTTTTTAGTTATGAAAGAGGGGGGAGCCTGTGGCAGACATGCTGGTGAGCGCACGCATGGCTGGAGACGGGGCACTTCTGCTGACGCCAAAAGGTGTCTGCAATGCAGTGCACCAACCCCTCACCCCCCCCGCTTTCACTCTCTTTTCTTTCTTCTACTCTCTTGTCACTCTCTCTCTCTACATATATATATATATATATCTTTTCCACCTTGCTTCTTTCTCTTCCTGTCATGGTCTTTCTTTTTTAGCCTCTCCTGCGCGCGCCTCTGTCTCATGCAAATCTATCTCTGTGGATTAAATGAGACCAGAACATTGTTATCTCCTGAATATTTAATTGAAGCTTAAGCATATTTCATCAAACCCGCCAGTGCCCACACATCTTTATGTGCTTGTGCTCTTTCCTTTTACAGCTTCTGGGGATAATTGAAAGTCACTAGTCAAGGGCATTTTTATGTTTTCGGTTGATTGTCTTCACTACGTCTTTCATTGATCGAGGATTTCATGAAGGCGGGAGTGATGGGTGGTTATTTAGTGCTGCGCCTAATGATCCCGTGTCCTTTCACACCTGTGAAAGTGATTGTGTATACCAAGTTATTTACTGGACAGTTTTAGTGATGGTGTTAAGTAGACAAATTGAGCCTATAGCTCACTGGCTCCCTAAGGCTCCTGACCTTCATTTGTGTAGCACACAGCCGGGCTATTTGTAACTCTGTCAGTTATTATTGTTACTCGTGTCTCTCTTAAGTCATTAGATTGGTTCTGCAAAGTAGAGGAACTGTGTGTGTGTGTGTGTGTGTGTGTGTGTGTGTGTGTGTGTGTGTGTGTGTGTGTGTGTGTGTGTGTGTGTTCGTGGACTCAGCAGGATCATTTCAGTCATGCTTAAGTCCCCGGCTTTTCATTTTGGGTTATGGTATATCTGCAGAGAAAATGATGACCTCATGGTTTTCCAAATACTGTGCAACAGAAGAATAACTCATGTCAGGGAGGAGGAGGAGGAGGAGGAGGAGCGTGGCAGTTTGTCAGAGAGCGAATGGATATAGAGGGAGAGAAGAAGAAGGGAAAAGCAGGGAAGATGGAGTTTAGGGGCTGATATTTGGCTGTGATCCAGGAGGAAGCAGGAAAGTAGAGCAAAAGAAGGGAGGAAAGTGTGAGCGTGGAAGTCTACAAGAGGACGAATGGAAAGGGGGAGATGGGGAAGAGCTGTCATAGAGTGGGAGTGAAAGATATAGAGGAGAGGGAGGGTAAGGTATTGCCTTTTTGGCGGGCGTGAGGACATGTGTGTGCCAGAGAACGAGTGGAAAAGGCCCACTGTTAACATGGCCATCTGGAAAAAAGGGGAAGAGAAGGGGGAACAAGGGAGACGATGGGGGAGGAGAAGAGCGGAGAGCATGGAGAGGAGAGGAGTAAGACGTGATGTGCACTACTGCAGCACTGTGGAGGGTGGGGTCTCACAATGAGTCAAAGCACGTCTGGTGCACCCCCCCACCCACCACCCACCCGTTACTCCCTCTTCAAACACACACATGCACACACACCTCCAAAGAGCTATCAGACCTCCAGCAGTGGTGTGCACAAGACCTGTGTGTGTCCCTCTCTAGCTTTACTTTCCTCTTTTTTCTCTTTTTTTTTTTTTTGTCTGTCTCGCACATGCTCAGGCTCTGCACTGCCCTCCATGTGTAAAAACACTAGGGTGAGAAAGTGACGGAGGAGAGAGAGTGAGAGAGAGAGAGAGAGAGAGCCGGAGTGGTAATTGAATTTGCCTGCAGAGGGGCGTGAATCTTCATCTAAACGCCTCCCGAATAACGCTGAAAGATTTTGAGAATTGCATGGATGTGTGTGTGAGAGAAACAGCGAGGGAAGTTTTTGCTTTATTTATCTTTTTTTTTTTTTTTTTTTTTTTTTTGGCGGGGGGACAATTGCACCATAACTGTACACACTAACATCTCCGAAGAGCCAGACGTGTAAAGTCGTGCAATAAAAACCCTCGTGTCGCTCAGATGTGGGTCATTTCTAAGTGTGTACCTGCGCTGGAAGGACACTTGTGGTGTTTGTGGTGAAAGACGCTACTTTGATTATCTGTTTGTTCAGCTGTGTTGTTCTTTCCTATAGATGCCTTTGATCAAGGGCGCGCGCACACACACACACACACACACACACAAATGCAGCCGTAGGAGACTACTGAGAATGAATACTGATGCTCCTGTTAGGTGGCGTGCATGAGTGTACTGCAGCTCTTTACGGCTCTTTATTATGGTGTCTGCCATTTCCACAGCCTTATAAGGCGTGTCTGTCACCATGAGTGGTTTAGAGTTGCTTCTTTGTGCACACACACACACACACACACACTCACTCACACGCTCACATGCTCACACACCCCAGAGGTCTTTGTGAAGGGATAATAGGCAGCACATGGCTTTTAAATCCATGCTGTAGTGTCAACAGTAGTGTTTTTTTTCCAATGGATATAAGAGCAGTCTGTAGATATGTAAGCAGTGGCTCCATTTACTGTCTGAATGTTGTCTTCTCTCTCTCTTGAGCACACGCCGACATGTGCATATGCTCCCCATACATGCACATAGGCAGATTCACATATGTTAGGGCTCAATGAAATGTCCCATTAGAGACAGTGCAATAAGGACACAGTGACACAGACAAACCTACACAGACTACAGTGATGTAAACATTTTCTTTTCACTTGGGGATTGTAAGAAAATGATTGGGGTTGGGAGAGGAGTTGAGTCTTATGTTTTAAAAATGCAAGTGTTATCAAAGGAACAGTTTGACATTTTTTTTTTTTGCACATTCAGACTGAAAGCAGCCCTGTGTTAAAACAACACAAGAGGCTGCGCTGGTGGGGGTCTGTTGCTTCAGGTACTAGTGAGATAATGAAATACAATCTAGCCCAGTTTTAGCACCGGATCCATGGATTTGAAGCCTTATCAGACATCAAAACACTGAAAAGAGGTTTATAATACTCCAAGACAGGATTTTACAACTCTGGAAAGTTATCACATCTGCAACTATTTAATCTTCATCGCAGTGATTGTGGGATAAACAGTAGCAATCTGCCCTTCATGTCACAACATAATCTTCCAGGAATGAGCCCTTCCATGTATGTATGTATGTGATTGGCCACCTCAGAGCCCTCCCAGATGATGTTGCGTTGCTTTGCAGCAAAAGATGAGCCTGGTTCTTGGTTTTTGTCGGATTACCCTGCATTTTTTTTCCAGAGCTTTCCATGCTGGCACCCATACTGTGGTCACCAGATTGCCCCCGTTCAAATGAATGACAGGATTGCTTCTTTTTTTTCACACAGAGCCAGAGGTTTTCTGAACGTGGCCATAGATAAGTATGGAGCTAGCTTAGTTTAGCATAAAGAATGGAGGTGGAAACAGCTGGCCTGGATCTATCTTAAGTTGAACAATCTACCTACCTGCACCTCTAAATCTTACAAATAAACATTTTAATCTTGGTTGTTTAATCTGTTCACAAACTGAAATCTAAAATAAAAGTTGTAGTTTTATGGAGGAGTTACATACTGTAACTTCCCTACTATACTATTACTATTATAGTCTCCTTAGTAAATCTACAAAGCATGCATTTTTACTGTATACTATAGACAAAACAAATCACAACACGTGTTTCTAAAATTTGTTTTTCCCACGTTCAAATAACAGATTTTCATTTACAAAAACTGCTAATGAAAAATAAATGAACACAGTGATTTGTCATACTTGACCACCCAGAGCTCTGAACGCACGCATGTGTATGCGCACACCTCCACAAGCTTCTAAAGAACATTAAAGATTGAGGAGATTTATGCAAATGAGTTCAGAAAAGCTTCAATCACAGAAAAGGCTCAGTGGGTTTTCATGAAAATCATGTTTTCTGGATCTCCAGCTCCAGGCTAAGCTACTTGGCTTCTCTCTCTCTCTCTCTGTCAGTCATTCCAGCTGTCGGCCAGACCGGCTACTGGAGGAGAATGCATGCAATGTGAAATATCTGACAATATCCTGAAGATGCTGGAATTCAAAACAGTGTCTGCAGACTGTTTCATACAAAGTTCAATATCAGGCTCATGTGTTCAAGCACCTATCCAAACAATCCTGTTTACCCATGCAATGCACTACAGACTCAATATCACAGACTGTGTGTTAACCGGCATATAGCATTACATGGGTCGGTATAGTTCTCGTGTATAGTTCTTCCTAGCTGATTGATTGATCATATTTGATCAACAGAAAATAAATCAGCAGCAGTTTTGACTGCTGATTAATCAAGCAGAAATACCAAACATTCTTTGGTTGCTTTTGTGTTTTTGTCACAATAAATTGAATGACTTTTGGTGTTTGGTGTTGGTTAGACAGAACAATATATATGAAGACACCACCATGGACTGAATGATTAATATATAAAATAAAGTTTTTTGTCAAATAAATCGCCACTTTGTTTGTGTCTTTATCTTTGTTTTGTATTGAATCTAATCAGATGTAAGCATATAGGAGCAGTTAATGACATCATGTGTCATCAAACTGTTTCTAACAACCACAGTTCTTCTGTACACGTTGTCTGTTTAGTCTGGCAGAGGAGCATGTGGTGGTGCTGACGCTGAGCACCAGAAGCAGGCCAGAGTTGCAGCACTGGATCAGTTGTTCGTTTCTTGGGGAAACACTTGGTCACACTGGCTGTTACATGAGGCTCTGTGGTTATGAATAGAGGCCTGTGCTTGTCAGAACAGGCTCTGGTGGGACAAGGTCTCATTACTTGTTTGTGTCTGCTGGTTTGGGTCACCTGAATCATGGAACACCTGACTTTAGATGTTTGCTCAGTTAGCTTGGACACGTACATAGATGCTTAAGTAAGCAGATGTAAGCACACGCGGGCGCACACACACACACATACACACACACACACACATACAAACACACAGAGAGTGTAAATGTTTTTGAGTAGAAGTGTGGTGTAACAGGAAAGGGAAGGGGAGGTCTGTTGGTCTGACAGGCCTGGAAAGGGATTAGAAAGGCCAGGAGAATGTCAAGCTTTATGTATGTGTTGACATCTAGAAAAACCATTCACATGAAGCGAATGACTCAAATTTAGGTAATTGTTATAAGTAGTTTTAAATGTTGTGAGCCAGGAGAGATGGGAGAGACTGCGATCAGAAGCCTTGCTTCTCTAAAGATAAACTTGATAAGACTCCCTGCTGTCCACAAAAACCTCCTCAGCTGACATCACAAGACAAAGTTTGAAGATTTATGATTTATTGTAGATAGTAGGACCAGGCCTAACTAGTATTAATGCACCACATGCAAGATTTTTGCTTACATAGCAAAAACTTGCACAGTACCTTTATTTTATTGAAAAATAATAATAATAATAATATATATATATATAATTTCACAATGGCAAAATACTGAAACAATATATTGTACGACCCCACTTCCATCGAAAAGAAGAAACTGAATTTCAAGTTTTTGCTAGTTTTTGCCAGTTACGTGCACAGAGGACGACACTGACACTGCCCAATGCCTTATTGAGCAGATCCCTCACACAATCAAGAAATCAGTTGTTTTGCATCAAAGTGAAATGGATACATGGTTGACTGTTGAAAAGCATTTTAGACAGAGGGGATGTGACATTTATTAAATCGGTGTTGTTAAATCATAATTGCTGTCTTGTAGATGCTGCTTCAAATGCCTTTTGGAGCTGCGTTAATACTTGCCATATCTTTTCTCTTTTCGAGAGAGCAAAACTTCTGATCATTTCAGTGTTCAATCTTTGTTGAATGAAAACATCTGTTTCTACAAATTTGGGCAACTCTGCAGTTCAAAAAAAAATAGCAAGAAATTGTAGGCCAGCTGAGTAGCCAGTGTGATGTGCAGAAGCACAAAGAAGCACGAAGGTGGAAATATAAAGTTTTCAGTTTGATGCTTTTGGAAAAAAAGTGGGGACGTAAAAGGAAATTCTAGATCTGTATTTTAATCTTTTTTAACTGTCTGTTGCTGCTGTGTGTTTCTACAGAGTTCCCATCTGGCGCTCATAGACACCCTGATGATGGCGTACACAGTGGAGATGGTGAGCGTGGAGAGGGTGATGTCCTGCATCAACAGGTACTCCTCCGCTGAACCCTCACACAGTGACGGACACATCCAGGAGCTGCCTTATGACACAGAGGATGCAATCACCACCTGGATTAACAAGGTACACATACACACACAGAAGGTCATTCGTGTGTACACAAAACCAGAAAGACGTGCTTTCTCCTTACAGAGGATAACAAGTGTACACATCCTTGAGCCTAGTACAATGGCGACTTATTATATGACACACAGTTCTTTGTTTTACTCTGGATATGAAAAACACAGGAGGAGCCCTAAAGTGTGTCAGAGCTCAGTTTGTCCACTGCTCGTTCAAATATGGTTCTAATATGTTTGCAAGAAAACTAGATGAAGAACTGGCACCAACCGCATGCAGTCTTGTCAGAGAGATTACAAAGAGATGACCGACTCAACCTACAGTCCAGCCTCTTCTGGTGTGCTAAATCAGGATTGGACGGGGTAAAGTCAGACCTCAAGTGGGTTGTAAGCTTTAAGAGGGCATAAGCTAAGTCTCTGTGATTGCATCCGTAGTTTATTTCATCATCTTAAAGATTATTTAGTAGCTTTCACTGATCTTGCAGAAGATTTTAAGGGAATTTTGACACAGTTGTTTCAAAATGTCACGCTGAACCCATTGTGCTTTGTTTAAAATAATGAAGCAAGCCTCTACATGGCATAAATGAATCATTTAAACATTCAGTCATTATTAACATTCCTCACTGACAAAGCTCAAGTGTCTCCTGCTCCATTTTACAATCCAAAGGCAGTAAATTACACATGTAGGATTTATTTACAGACACATGGAGGATCGTGTGTAGTTCTAAGACATAGCATGACATGGCTGGGACTGGCCCAGACAACCTGAGGCTAAAATCTTGCATCACTGTTGTTTACACAGTTTGCCCTTTGAAGGCAGAAGAGCAGTAATCGTAAAAAAAAAAAAAAAAAAAAGGGGGGCTTTTTTAAGAAAACATAGTGATCTTTGAAGTTCTTTTAACATAGTGCTTGAGTCGGAAGTCAGCTGAGTGTATATTGGGTTACAGTAATATTTAGCATCAGTAGTTAATGGGCACATGTGGTGGTGAAAGGTTTTTTCTTTGATGTGTGGAGCCTAATGTACTCATGTTCAAGTTTCTCCTCTCCAACACAAACTCACCATTCAGCCTGAGTCCAACAAATACTTGTGTGAAATGTGACCTCTCTCTCTCTCTCTCTCTCTCTCTCTCTCTCTCTCTCTCTCTCTCTCTCTCCCTCCCCAGGTGAATGAACACCTAAGGGACATCCTTGTGGAGGAGCAGAAGCTGAGAGAGGCTGCCTTTCAGGAGTCAAACACAGCAACACACAAAGTAAGAACACAGACACTAACAACAACCTGTCAGTTGTCAGTCATTCAAAAAAAAAGATTGTTTGATGGAACAGTTTAACATTTTTGAAAATACGCTTTCCACTTTCCTGTGGAGAGTTAGATGAGATGTCTGTACACTAAATATGAAGTCACAGCCAGGAAGTTTAGCTTAGCATAAAGACTAGAAACAGGGGTAACAGCTAACCTGTATATAGCTTCATATATGACAGATATGAGAGTGGTATTGATCTTCTTATAGAGCTCTCTGCAATAAATAAATATATATGAATCTAGAGCCAACATGAGACTAGCTTAGCTTAGCATAAAAAACTGAAACAGCTATGACCAAAGTTCAAGAATCCATCTGTCAACACCTTTAATGCTGTCTAAATTAACAACTATCTCTCTGCTAATGAGTACACAAACCTAAATATAAAAACTGTAACTGCTGTAGTGTTACCTATCAACTATTTTTTTAATTAACATTTTGTTTTCTAAGCTGGCAAGCTCACTCTGACAAGATTCAGGGAAGTCACTGCAAACGGCTGTTGTTCGCCAACAAATAGTTACAGTACAAACTTCCTCTAATAACAAAAATGGTCATTTTTACATTTTATTTTGTGTAAAAATTAAACAAAGGAGATACAACATGTTAGCCTTCTCTGAGGTGCCAGTAGGTGTGTTTTTTAGAGTCAGGGTAACTGTTTCTTCCTGCTTCCAGTGTTTGAGCTAGGCTAAGCTAATCGCCACCTGGCTCCATCTCTGAACGAGATGGACCGACTTGACAGTAGTATTGATCCTCTTACGTAACCATCAGCAAGAGTGCATTTCCCAAAATGTTGAACTATTCCTTGAAGGCTGACTCACAATGAAAACAGAGCCAAAACAGGACTTCTTTCTTTAATGTCTTTCTGATTTGCTTTTATTTTTAGTCTAATTTTCTGCTTCTCGTTTTTATTTCACCTCCTATCTGTTAATAATAATGGATTTTTTAAAATATTCCTTGCTTTTACTCAAAGACGTGAGCATGTCTACTCCCATACGAGACACATGCAGACACACATGATATGTACACTCACATAGAGCACAGTGCACAGCGCTCTGTAAATCAGAGGAACAGATGAGCTCAGTCTCTGACCAGCTGCAGAGAAATGTTGGCAAGAGTCGCGACACTGCTGTTAGAGGACACAAAAAAATGTGCAGGGCAGAGGAGGAGAGAAAGGGTGACAGACAGAGAGGGAGAAAGAGAGAAGAAAAGTGAGGAGGGATAATCAGAGAGAGGGACGAGGGAGAAATGACACCAGGGTGGAAGACGTGGAGACAGACACTCGGGAACTTTGTCAGCTGTAGCAAAACAAAGTCAGTGACAAACAGAGACAGTGTTGTCATCCTGCAGGCCTCGTAGTTATGTAAGGTCCGTGTGACACAACGAGTCAGTCTGCCGGGACAAACACACAACAGTCAGCTACCGCCCTCTGCCACTCACTTAACCATGAAGCCACAGCACACTGCCTTATCAGGTCACAACCCCTGCTTCGGGTCAGTGCTCCACACCAGTGAAAAAAGGGCAAAGGTTAAAAAATGGAAAAAGAATTATCTCACAGTGAGCGTGTGTACACAGGCACATATAAAATTCACCTGTGACAAATGGAAATGGGTAGGAAAAACTTCCTGCAATTTAGTACCAACTGAAAAAGGTAAACAATGATTCAAACTCTGATTTAGCTGCATGTGTAAATAGCCGAGAGTCATAACGGTCATAGAGTAAACCTGCGTGGTTTTAAAGATACTGTATCTTGTGCTGAGTATGGACACAGTTGTGCTTTGACATTTGCTATTTAGGGCTAAACACAAAGTTTAAATTCGTTTTGCAAGTGTTCGGCACTAAAGGATAAATTAGGGGACAGTAGGATTCATCTTCTGGGGAACTTGAATGTCTTTATAAAATTTCAAAGCAATCCATCCCATAGAGATAGACATGAATGTGTACATCAAATTTCATGACAATTCAATCACTCACAACCATGAATGTGAACCTCAGGCTGGTGCCATAGAAAAGTTAGGGGATCAGTGAAGTCATTTGGCTTTATCCTGTGAATATCTTGAAATTTTCATGGCAATCCATCCAATAGTTGTTGAGATATTCTGTCTGGACCAATCGGTGGTATCACCGATGGACCGGCATCGTTATCCATAGAGCCGCGCCACAAGCATGGCTGAAAACAGACATTATCAGATTATTAATTTAAACTGTTTACATTCAACAGGTTGTAAACTGGCTGTGTGTGTGTCACTGTTCTCTCATACGGAACATAATAAACTTGCTTTTCAAAGAGCTGCAGGACGTCATGAGCGGCCAAATCAGTTTAGAAGGAGCTTTTATCTGATGGGAGAGTTTCTTTGGTGAATTTTCTCCCACTTATTGTCGGATTTTGTGTCAGTATAGTGAGAGAGATCACTGCCTATCAGTGGCCATTGTGTGAGCTGATAATACACATGGGGTTTGTGACCTATCCCACATTGACTCACATATACACACTCCGGCTTTTGTCAAAGGCAACAAGTTACAACAAGGAAAGAGAGGAGAGTCTTTTAAAGAATGCACGACCAGTGTCAGTCAGCTGCTTTCCTGCTCCATGCTCCATCACACAGCTCCCTCTCTGCATTATCAACTTTAACAGAAGTCTATTCACTGAGGACAACATACTCAGGGGAGATGATTTCACACACACACACACACACACACACGCACGCACACACACATATGCCTGCGCAAACACATACACACACACTAATGGTTGAGCACAAGACACTTCTCAGTAAAATTTCATCTATTCTGGGATGGCGTGAAAGATCTTCAACTGTGGTCTTATGACTAAGTGCTCAGCATTTTTGTGTGTGTGGATACTGTGTGAATGTTTGTGATTAACATAGGTTCTTACACATATGACTGAGTGGAAACTTCAGTTTATGTTTGTAGCCTTGATTGCTTCCATCAATGAGGCTGAGTTTTGGTGGAATGATCAGACAAGAGTCCAAGACATGAGCGATGCCACATTTTCAAAGGATTTCCTAACAGTACAAGATAGGTTTCTTTAACTGTGCTTTTTTCTCATTAACTACTGCACACAATTAAGTTTAAAAACTCTGCCTGTGGAACAGGCTGGGGAACGTGTTTGAACAGCGACTCAGACAAAAGATTTAGTCTTAAAGTGAAACATCTCTTTTTTTTTTCCCTTAATAGCAAAATGGCTGTATGGATGTCAGTCCACCACTTGGGTCGAGGCTGAAATATCTCAACCACTATTGCAGTTAAATTTTGTACAGACATTCATGCTCCCCAGAGGATAAATCCTGCTGACTTTGGTGATTAGTCTGTTCGTGTTTGGAACAAACCTTAATTATGAAACACCTCTGTGTGTATAGTTAGTGTTCAGGTACTTTACCATTAGCTATAGAACCAGGCAGATTAATGGTTTCCCTGAAGAGGAAAGGCTGTATTTGATTTAGTGGAGTGTGACATTTTAATTGCTCCTTACATGATGAATTTAGGGCCATACTTTTTTAGTTAAACAACCTCATCTCTGATACGTCTTTTGGACGGATGATTAATAGTTCTTTCTAGTGTTAATAGAGGGGTTGTCCCCCAGTCTCAGTTGTAATAGTGAAACTTTTTTCCGCCTGCTGTTGGCCTAATGCCTCTCCCACTCTCTCCTTGTTGTTGTCCAATGGTCATCCACCATCAAGTCTCCTAACAAATGGTACTGGAGACTAGTACCTGTAAGTCCATCCATCCTGCAGAACTCCTCTTCATAAAACATCACAATCTACCTCCTCTCTGATTAATTAATTAAACCTGCAAGGATACACCCCTCACCCCTTAACCCACCCCCACCCCGCCACGCACCCTAGTTTTTACGTTTGTCATTGCATGTGACCCTGAGCCCCATCCTGCATTTGTCAGACACCCCTCCCACCCTATCCTGTGCCAACCTTGGTCCCCAAAGTCTGAGCAAGTCTGATTAAGACATAGCGACCATTTTGGAAGTCCAGTAGCATGATCATATCAACACCAGATTTTCCACTGAAAAACATATTTGAATCTAATGACGCAGCCTCAGTATCCCTACCTGCCCATTTTCTGGTTTGATTTGGCATTTTTGGTGTCTGCATTCTGCACTGAAAACAGTTTCTTTCCCCCTGTTGCATGAGTTTAAACTGGCTGCTGTGAAAAAACAAACAAACAGTAAAAGACGTATTGTGTGTCTATGCAAAACAAATGGAATGAAGGACAAAACGTTCCTCAGTGCACAAACTGAGAGGCTGTCAGACAGCGAGAGTTGCAATGATTGAAGCTTTCATCACATCTGTTGTAAAATGCACACGAGACATCGCTCTCGTGTGTTTATGGGCTACTGGGAGTACTGATGCCCTGAAGACATCTATAGTAATGTTGTCTCCGTGGTTTTTACAGGCCTAGAGAGACGTACAGAAAATCCGCAGACAGGAAGGATGCGCTAACACATATTATTATTAAACTGTAAATCACAGGCATTGTCTGCTACAGCACCACAATGGGGGTTTGGACTGACTCGGTGCCAGGGAACTGTACTCTAGATGTATGATAGTAGAACCTTTAATTTGCTAGCATGCATTTTGTTCCTTGTTCTCCATCTAGAAGTGGAACCACTCCTCAAAAACAAAAATAGTTTGTTTTTAAACATTTAAATTTAAGATGCCTATGTCATTCTAGATGTTGTGTCTAATTATTTGCATGATCAATTTAATCTGCATAATTTGAGATGAGCCCGAATCCCATCCTGTGTTTGAAAATCATCAAATCAACACTTACTTATCTGTGAGAGAGAGAGAGAGAGAGAGAGAGAGAGAGAGAGTTTGTGTGTGTGTGTGTGTGTGTGTGTGTGTGTGTGTGTGTGTGTGTCTCCACTGGTGCATACAGATAAAAGTGTGTCTGCAGATGTTTGCACCAACAATCACAGAGCCAACTGTACTAATCTACCCCCACATACACATATGGGTGATGTCTCTGTTCCGTTGCCATGGTTTCAGGCTCGCTACAGGAGGGAGCATGCCCAGCAGAGGAGCGCTCCTTCGCTCCCCCTGGTGGAGAACCTGCTGAAGGACAACACAGATGGCTGCGCCCTGACTGCCCTGCTGCACTTCTACTGCCCACAGGCCGTCAGACTGGAAGGTAGCGTCAATCCGTAACCACACCCACTCTTACTTACCACCCACACCCTCTTTTATTTTAATTATTCCAAAAAGCAAACACACAACACCAAAGTCAGTTCTGAATGGTATACAATGAGCTAACCAGAATGGTTTTCAGTCACAACTGGACAGCACAAAGGACCCTGTCTTCTGCTCTCACTGCTGCTGTAACTAACATACATTTGAACAGGGTACTTGAAACAAAGAGTGTATTTATTATCCATTTGCCCTTGTCTGGCAGCATTATGTGTAGTTAATAGTGTTTTATAGGCATCAGTGGGCAAACTTCTCATCCTAATCCTAAACTAAAACACAGTCAATAGATGATGGACCCTGTTTTGACTGTCTGTATTTACTGTCAAACAGATGAGCTGTCGAGGATGATGAATAAAGAAAGACAGGCAGAGGCAGAGAGGATTCAGGACAGACATGGAGAAGGCGAGCGAGACAAAGAGAAACAAAGACTTGTTTCCTCTCAGCTCGCCTGCGCCCTTATTTCTAAAAATGCCCTGGGTTGGGTTGCGATTGGTCACGAGGGGTGTGTGACGGAGGACCGTTAGAGGAGTAGCTGGCTGCTATTTCAAGGATAAACAATTCTCATGTCGGTGCTCTGAGACTCTTGGGATTGACCGTGGTTCACAGGCAGCTCATACACATGTGGACCAGATGTGGAAATGGGTTAAACTTCATTTAGATCGCTTGCTGGCAGCTTGATTTAATCTAAGAAATAATGAAGAAGTACAGTAATGAAAAGTGCTGTAATGTTTGGCTTCCTGTCCCCAGTCTGTTCTCTCTTGTTGGACATCCTACACATGCATGGGCCGTCCTTACAGTAACGTCAGGGGATAAAAATCCTGATGACTCATCCAGAGGGGAGTTGAAGGCGGTTTGAAAACTTGTGTCATGAAATGTTTCAAGGATTTTGCGTGATTCAAATGAGCTACTGCACACAGCACAAATACCAGTGGGAGGGTGGTCGGGTAATTTCCCTCTCATCTATTCTTTTTTTAAACATAAACTCTGCCTTATCTTTTCCTTGTCTTCCTGTCTGGCCTTTTCCATCAACCCTCCCTCTTGTATGTGTTTGTGTGTGTGTGACCCCTCCCCTGGCTGAGTAGATATCTGCCTCAAGGAGACCATGTCACTGGCTGACAGTCTGTACAACCTCCAGCTGGTGCAGGAGTTCTGCAAGAACAACCTGAACCACTGCTGCCACTTCAGCCTGGAGGACATGCTCTACGCGCATGCATCCGTAAAGGTAATGGAGACCAGTATTCAAATATTAATATACATGTATGTGGAGCTGTTTTTATAATGTGGATTCAGAAGAAAGAGTCCAAAGAAAGGAGTTTTTTGGGAATAAGGAGAGCTGGGGTGGGAAATTACAAATGGGAAAAAATGAGTCATGCAAGGAAAGATTTAAAAATGAATGTGTGTGTAGCAGGCTTGGTTCTCACAGGGGTTGTAATTGTGTGTGTGTGTGTGTGTGTGTGTGTGTGTGTGTGTGTGTGTGTGTGTGTGTGTGTGTGTGTGTGTGTGTGTGTGTGTGTGGATGTATTAGTAGGGACATAAAGATCATTTTGCTACAGTGAGTACTGCTTCACTGCCAGATTAAATGAATATGACTGTCTGTGTGTGTGCAGTTGCTGCTTCTCTAGTACAGACGCTGCAGGGCAAATGCCCCCCCCCCCCCCCTCAGACAGAGGACAAACTCTGCTCAGAGGAGATTCACAGTCCTGACCCGTCTCTGCTTGCCTCTCTTGTTCCTCTCCCCTCCGCATCACCGCGTTTTTTTTTGTTTTGTTTTTTTATCAAACAACATAATCTGTGAACTTGCTGATTCACTCAGTCCTCGGGCAGAGTTTTCCCCATTTCACGCACACATTTGTTTCTGATTAATAAAAGCCTTACTGTACAATTTTAAGAGCATCTCTGTGCCCTCCTGGCTTCAGAAGCAGCAGAGCCAGTGTGGGTAAATAGTATGCGGAGAGCGTGGGTAGAAACATTCGGATTCAAGTCACGGTCCGAGCTGACCGGGACTCACCATTCTTCAAAACAACACAGCGGACCGTCTTCACACTTGTGCACTCTTTGTTCAGTTTCTCTCTCTTCGTTTCTCATTCACATTGTTTATAATGTGTGTGTATTGACTGTATAGTGCCACAATAGTATGAGTAGGCAAAGAAGGGGAGAAAAGGGAGAGAAATGGTCACCGAGAGCGGCTAAAGGCTCTGGCTCACTGCCCATTCACCACAAACTCACTGCTTACTGAATCTTAATTAGTGTGTCTGTGTGTGTGCATGTATCTATTCATTTAATATATTACATTGAAGTGGAAATGTTGTATATCCCATTGAGCAGTTCACTGTGCTGCCTCCAAAATAAAGATACAAAGGCAAAGTGCAGCAGCAGTTTAAAGGAACAGAAATCCCAGCTTTTGTTGGTTTTCTTTTTTTATTTATCCCTGCTACAAAGAGAGGAACTGGTCAGTGCATGTTTCCTACAGATGAAATCCTCTGTGTCGGCCTCCAGAGTCTTTCTGTTTATAACACGCATGCATTTGTCATTGATGGAGGTTACTCACTCGCTGCTTTGCGCAACCATTTGCACATATGTGACAAATTTAAACTAAACTCCAGATGGTGTTTTGGCAGGATATCAAGAGGCGTATGCGTTTGACATTAAACAACTCAGACAATGAAACATGTACTGGCATTCAGCAACATACAAGACATACACATACGCACACCTTAGCCTGTTACCTAGCAACAGTTGGCAGGCCGTGACCTAACTGATCTGTCAAGTTGCCGTTGTAGCTCATCTTGCATCTTTACAGAGACACAAGGGAAGAGGGAGTTGCTGCAGGAGTTGAATACAGCTGACTGCAGAGACAAACATGGTGCTAACGATATTAATAGATAACTACGTTTGTGACTGCAACATTAACCACAAAGGTGTGTGTCTCTGTGTGTGTGTGGCCTTGCAGAGTAACTATCTGGTGTTTATGGCTGAGCTTTTCTGGTGGTTTGAAGTGGTTAAACCCTCGTTTGTGCAGCCCAGAGTCTTCGACCCGAATGGTACAGTACAACGTCACAGGAATGGCATCAACACGCAGTTTGTTAACTCTAATAGTAAATGCAAAGTTGCAGCTACAGATTGATTGCATGACACATTTTCTGTTTTCTTCTGCAGCGTGTGAGCCTGTACCCTCTAGAAATATGGCACCTGTATCCAGTCCAGTCAAACAGAGCTATGCAGACAGACCTGACAGCCCGGAAAACATCCCTGTCGAGGGTAAATAATCCACCTTTTATCATTTAGGGTGTGTTTTCTAATTGCTGTCTATTCAGTGGTATTCCAAGTTAAAATAGTTTACATATTGTATTTGTTTGCCAGAGCAAAACTGTCACGTGTGTAAAAACAACTTGGGTCACTTAAAGCAGTGCATATCTTTAGGCAACATGCGGGCAGAGATGTCACAGTGTTAGTGTGGACTGGTTCATGTTCCCCGCTTGTAAAATACAGCAGAAGCCTTGATATCGATATTCTTCTCAACACAGTTTTCACAGAACAAGTTTGTCCTCTAATTTCTTGAATTTGCCCGTACATGCTTTGATGGCACTTTTGAAAAAATGACATAATCGCTACAATTAGCAGTTACCTGGGGCGTGAATACAGAACAGTGGAAGCATGTGTGGATGTGTTTTGTTTTGAAACCAGCGGCCCTCTAGTGGCTGATTTACAGCCACGCATTAGCTTTTATGCTCTCCTATTTCATTTGAGCCCTTTACTTACTTAATAGCTATTATTAATTATACATTATAATTTTTAACCATTAGTAGCCAGAAGTTGAGGTGTGTACACTTGATACTCTCACTGTGGCATTTGTTATTGACTGGTGAGATAAAGAGGGATGTGATACAAACATTACAGTAATAAAATCAAGGAAACTGCTCTGTCTCTGCAATAGGAATAATGAAGAGATCTACCTCCATGTCCTATGTAGATGGCTGTGTTGGGACATGGCCCAAAGAAAAACGGTTAGTACATGAAACATAGACAAAAGCATTCCTTCAGTACATATCTGAAGTGGTTTGTTGTTTCTGTGTAGAACTAACAGTAAATTCTCCTCCACCATCAGCTCCTCCTCTCGAGGAATCTCCTTTGAGATTCCTCTGGACGGAGACCCGACTGTGCTGCCCTGTGAAGCTCCCTCCCTCAGAGGTATGACCCGGTCGGCCAGCAGTGACGGTCTAGGGTTCAAAGTTCACTATGCATCCCGAGGAGGCATGAAGCGCCACCTCTCCCTCGTGCCCGTCAATGTAAACGGCCAGAGCAGACACATACCAGAGGAGGATGAGGACTTCATCTCCCACAAACCCCTGGGGCAGAACAACACATTCTCAGTCAAGAACCAAAGCAGGTACAGGAGAGTGGGATGTCTTAGGTCATGATTTTTAAACAATAAAAACCTCTGTCCTCTAAATTTGCGTATTGTCAATTTAAAGAGACAGGTTTGTTTTTTTCTGTTTTTTTTCCTACATGAGATAGATTAATAGATGGCTTTTTTATAAGTAAGGTATGTTTGAATACACTGTGCAAAGTACCCTGTGGCCCCAGGGGATACCTTACTGTGCGCAGTTTCTCTGGAATAGAGTAGACCATTGGCACTCAATCAATTTAAGTAGCTGTACAACAATTATATGCCATTAGAAAAATGTATGTCTTTTTATGTATTCATGTTCAGTGATATAAGGATTGTTTTTATTACCCCTATGGGAAAATAAAGACATTTATTTTGCCTAGGTAGGTGGTAGTTTACTGTATTAAATAGCCTAAATTTATTGTTATATCCTTGCTAGTGTCTGCAGCGCCAAGATAAAGTATACTGCCTGTTCACTGGCAGTTGCTTTTTCTGTACTGCTCAATTTTCAGCAGTTCAACATACATGTCAGTGTTTTTTTTTCAATCTATATGTTAATTAACTGGCGTGAGAGCCCTTTGAGACATGGTATGATTTTAGCTTTGCTCATCTCCAGTCCTAATGTTCCATACTTTGTACTTATTCACCTTGTACTAACAATGTTTCACAATTACAGGCCTAAACAAAATCAAAAAAATTACTGTATAGTTGCAATTACCTTTTCTAAGACAAACGTGTTCTTTTGGTTGTGGATTACACTTGTGATTTCATCAAATGTTTTTTGTTAATTGTAAAATAAGTTAAACCAGCCATCTATCTTGTCTCATCATATGTCAGTATTTCCCTTCTTTTGGGGGAAACTGCTCTTTAATAAATCAAGCTAAGCAAAGTTTATCGGACTTTAAGTTAATTTACCTGCATCTGTTCCAAGGCACTCCAATGGGGTCCTCCCTGACAGCATCCACAGCTCCAGCAATCACCATGGTAACCATAGCGGCCACATCAGCCCATCAACCCCTCCGAGCATTGAGGAGGCCCTGAAGATTATCCACGACACAGAAAGGCCCCACGCCAGCCTGGGCGTGGGGGACGGAGACAATGGCTTCTTTCTCCACGGTGCGGAGCCCTCAGACCCTGCAGGGGCCCAAGGTCAAGGAGACGACCTGGGTTCAGCTAAGGCTCGGCTGAATGAGCACGACCCCAACTCGGTGTCCACTGATGAAGTTGACACGGGCATCCATGTGAGGACAGAGGACATCCAGAGCTTGGATGAGGACTCCTCCTCACTGCGAGACTATTCAGATATAGACCCAGACTGTGAGGCCGTGACCAGGTCGTGCCCTCTGCCTGACCGGCTGGAGATGGAGACAAGCAAGGAAGGAGGGCGCAAAGAGGTTGGTGACACTAATCCTGAGGGTGAGAGGGGAAATGGAGTTGACAGGAGTAGCCCCTGTCCCAGCTCAGCACCCACAATCCCCAGATCTCACACTGTCAGCCCAGCCTCGTCGTCTGGTGGCTCTGGTGGAGGCCTGGTGCGGATGACGAGCTTTGCAGAACAGAAATTCAGGAAGTTGGAGGGGAGGAGTAGTGGAGGAACCACACCAGAGAGTTCAGATCTCAACGTACCGTACACACACTCGACAAGAAACATTTCTTCTCAGGTTTGTGGCTTATTCCGCATCTTTCGTTCTTTCAAACATTTGTTGCAGAGGCAGAAATGTAATATGAAGTTATGTGGGTTTGCGTAGAATTAACGGAAATTATCTTTGCACCTTCTTCTAGATCTCTACACCTCCTTTGCCAATCACATCTCCCTCCCCAGTAACACCTTCCCCCAGAGACCCCTCCCATGTCATAGCGTCAGAGATGATCCAACTGAGGATGAAGCTGGAAGAGAAACGCAGAGCCATTGAAGCCCAGAAAAAGAAGGTAAAGAGATGTACAGCCAGAGAGAGAGAGAGAGACAGTCACAAATTTGTGAATATAAATGCACACATCATGTTGCTCTCGTCACATTTTCCAGGTGGAAGCAGCTTTTACTCGCCATCGCCAAAGGATGGGCAGAACGGCCTTTCTGAATGTTGTGAGAAGGAAAGGAGTCACACCCCCCATCAGCCCTAGCTCAGGGGGAGCAGAAACACCTTCCCCAGAGCCACTCATGTCCTCAAAGGGAAGCAGCCAGAGCAGCATGGAGCGGGCGGAGAGGTGCAAGCCAGATGGAGCAGCTCCAAAATCGCCCTGTGAAGATGGCGGAGGTGGGTAACCCCGAAAACGGGAGTTACCGAGTTATCTATCAGTTCATGATTATGTGAGGAAATAGTGAAAATGCCAATCAGAATTTTGCAGAGAACAAGGCGAGGTCTTGAAATTGCTGGAATAGCAGGATGGAAAATGTGTATTTCTGAATTGTGTTGTCCACGATGCTTTTAGGCGTTGTGAAGGATTCTGTTTAAATCGGTAACTAACTGATTGACCTGTGTATTTAATGTGGTGATACAGGTGTTGCTCCAGGAGAAATCGACCTTGCAGAATACACACGCTCCATTGAGAGACTAAACACGTCACTGGGCTTCCTGCAGACAGAAATGCAGCGTTTGGCCCAGCAGCAGGAGAGGATCATGGCCATGAGAGAGCAACAACAACAAGCCTGGGTCATTCCTCCTCCTGCTCCATCTCCGCACAGGTACCATTTAATGTTAGATGTTAATAATGTCATCGAAAAAATCATTTTACCATCCTCGTGTGAACTCACTTACATGTGTTTGTGGGTATTTTTCCCACACAGGCAGCTGCGTGAGCTGCGTAGCAGCAGTGTAACAGGCCGGGGATCAGGCCGAGGCTCGGTTGGGTCTTTGTCTCCTATCCTGTCTTCTTCTGGCTCTCCACGTGCTCCTAATCGTTCCCCTGCTGGCATCAAGCGGCGGCCAGCCTCTTTCCATGCCAGGACGCCTCGGACTCCACGACCAAATGATCTGAAGGTCACCCCTTTCAGCCGAATGCTCAACACCCCCACTTCGGTGGACAGCCTACCCAGACTGAGGCGCTTCACCCCCAGCCAACCCCAGCTCTGTTCTTTCTCCTACTTGGGCAATGATGAGAAGTCTGGGGAAAACAAGAACCAAGAGGCCAAGAACAACAAAGAAAACGACAAAGACAAAGAAGAGACAGTGGCTAAGAAGAGTGCTGGCACTCCTCAGCCTGCTACTAAAGAAACAGCCAAAGAGAAGGAAGATGAGCAACAGGAGAGGAGAAAGGCAGAACAGCCTCCTTTGAAGGGTGAAGTCAAACAATCAAGGATGTCAGAGGTGTTGCGTCAGCCGGTATCTGAGATCCAAGGGGCCGCAGGCAGCCAGGTCAAAGACGACCCTCAGGACAAGAGGGACCTGGTAGAGGTGCCTCTGTCTGGGCTGAAGCCTCCAGAAGGCCGCAGTCAGGAGATGACAAGAGAGGGAGAAACTGGAGGAGACACTGTTGGAGACGATCAAAAGATGTGCTGTGGATTCTTCTTCAAGGTGAGCAACAGAATTATACATAATTATAATATCACATATGTCATATATACCTACATCACATTTAGACATTTTCTATTTTTTTTATCGTCAAAGGTAACCCATGTAAAGTTAGTGGTTTCTCTAAATATTATCTGCCACATGAATTGAATTATATACTCACCTGTAGGTGAAGGCTGAATTGGACTGAGATGTAGCCATTAATTAAACATTATGAATTTGAGCTGCTCTCTGTTGCAATATTTAATTCTCTCCACACACTAGTGACCTTTTTGTGGAAATAGAGACTGAGACCTCCATGTTGTTTCCTTCTGGACAGGCCCAAGCTAGCTGTTTCCCCCTGTTTGCAGTCTTTGTGCTAAGCTAAGCTAACTGGCTCCTGTTGGTAGCTTATTTTCCAAAATGTTGAACTATTGCTTTAAACTCTCCCCATCAAGTCTGTACGTCTTAGCTTGCTAGCAACCGAACAAATCTTATTTCTATATTTCCAAATCAATCTTTACAATACCATGCAGCAGTAATGTTATTAGTTGCACCTGTATTTGTCAGGTCAAAATGTCTGTTTTGAGAAGAGTCTATTCACCTATTCACCGGTTTAACTCCATATTTTTCCCCCTGGTCATCCCAAGTGGGCCCCACCCTCTAGTTTGGAAACCACTGCAAACTATAATCACAGCTGGTATGCATAGTTCATCAACCCCTCATCAATAATACAGTCTATACAGCCTTATGGTGCTGTATGCACGTAGCAGCAACAGGAGGAATCTGATACTGAGCGTGGTACAACATGTGCAGTATTGTGCCTGTTGAGCCATGAACTGATCAGAGACGATACATTAGTGGATCTAGGCCAAAAAACAAGCCAGAACACAGACTCATGGTAGACCATTAGAGTTTTGATTATAGAGTGATGACCGAGCTTTGTTCACTGAAAGTAAATAATGCCACTTTGAATACCAGTTTCCTCCATAATTAAGTGAAGGCTTATCATTTGTGCATCCATTTCATGATGACAAATAGAAATATAGAAATATTTCCTGTAAACGATGCTCAATGAACTATCAAGAGACATCATCCTCTCAGTCTGACATCTGATTTCTAAAAGGAGAGATGAGAAACATATACACATTATGGTTTTATATTACCTTTATAGACTAGGCCTATTTATTCATGTGTTGTCAACCTGTCAAACACCAGGATGATCTAAAAGGGGAGGAGGATATGGCAGCAAAGAAAGCAGCACTGCTGGAGAAGAGGCTGAGGAGGGAGAAGGAGGCCCAGGAGAGGAAGCAACAGCAGGAGCTGGACCAGGAGCAGAAGAGGGAAGCTGCACGGTCCGTCTGTCTTCCTCATTTTCTGTGTATTTACCAACCCTAAAACAACACTGTCCCCAGGCTTATAACATCAATACCTATGTCACCTATACCTATACCTAATTCAATGTGCATGTGCTGATGTAGCAGGTTCCATTATGCTTTATTTACCCTCAAACGTTTGGTTGAAAGGTTTATTACCTAATTTTTGTGTCCTCCTCCAGGCTGAAAGCAGAGGAGGAGCAGCAGAAGAAGGATGATGAGAAAGCCAGGAGGGATTACATCAAGAATGAGTATTTGAGGATGAAGCAGCTCAAACTGATGCAGGACATGGACGAAGTCATCAAACCTCGATCTGGAAGTCTCAAGAAGAAGCCACGTCCCAAATCAATCCACAGGGACGTCATGGAGTCATCTACTCCCCCTGTGAGAGCAACAGGTGAGCAACACACAAACCACCTGCACAAGCACACACTGTCACAGCCGCTAATCAGTGCTTAACCTCTATGCTGTTTTCATGTTGCAGGGGTGCGTCCTCGAGGCTTCTCAGTATCTAGTGTTTCTTTGGCGTCTCTCAATCTAGCTGACAACGACAGAGACCAGCCAGATAACAGGAAGAACAACAGGTAAGACCCACTCTCACTCAAAAATCAAAGATGTGAGAAGCACAAGCAAAATAAATATTCTACCTGCATTCCATCCTGCTAGCTTAGCGTGTACTTAAAAAAAACAATGAATGAAGATGCCACAGATAAATGACTCGACTTTTTCAAGTGTGCTTGCTTTGCAGATTGATTCTATCATGATGTGTACACAGTTGCAGCAAGTTGTTTAACATGCTTACCAATTTCAAAGGAGTCTGAATGATCCCGTTAAGGGAGCCATTTGTAAGTTTTGCTGTTGCAACAGAGCTAATGTTAGCATTAACCACTGTTTACTTGCCAGTTTTGCAAAGAGCTTCATTGCCATCGCCATTGTTATGTTTACAATACTAGAGGTTATAATACATCCTCTAAGCAGCACTACTTCTTGAGGGCAGACTGAATGCTACAGTGACTCGGTATCCGAAAGCGATAATACGGACTAGTGGGCCAGAGCTAGCTGGTTGTCATGCTAACTTCAGTAGAAGAGAAGTGATAGTAAAGGATTTAAGTTCGATGCTAAACAATGTTCCTTCTAGACTGGCAAGTAAACAGCTGTTACTGCTAACGTTGCCTATGTAGAAATAGCAAAAAACTCCTTTAAGTTTAAGTCAATTTTAAGTTGATGAGAGTTTGAATTTTGTGTCCTTAACGTACTTTGCTCTTTGTGCTATTTGTGACCCGTAATTTAACTTTTATATATGTTTCACCTTTTGAATTTGAGTTCATTTATTTATGTCACCATTATGACTTTGCTCAGCTGGGACTTTGAATCAATGGGATGTTTTGTTGTTGAGGTTGTTGTTTCCTATGAGGCTTACACTCTGCTTTTTGATTCTCTTTTATCCCTCTCCTCTTTTTCTTCAACTTTGCATGGATTCCCTCAGAGGCAATAAAATAGCTTCTGCACATATCCCATTCTTTCTAAACTCTCCTAAAGAAAGAAAGGGAAGGTCAGTAATGCTCTGGAAAGAAGTGCCTCCACAGATGAAGTGTATGAAACTACTGTAGGTGTGGCTCCGTGTAGATATAGTTCCATGTAACTTTGGTTTAGCCTACATTTCATTAGGCAGTCTTTCAACACAGATTGTAGTTCATTGTAGTTCTTGCTTCTGTATTTAAGTACATTGGACCTGCGTGGCTGAACTGTTTCCGCCTCAGTTCTCCTGCTCTTTATCCTCTCTGTCTTTTGCAGTATTGCTCTCTTCTCCATGCTGGCTGCTCTGCGCTTTACCGCTGTGTTTGCTGTTTCCTCCACAAGTACTCGAGCTCATCTCTCGCAGTTAGCCATAAAGACAGCACAGAGACTTTGCTTTGCTTGGCTGAACATGCCTTTCTGTTCCTCACCGCACAGCTTTGTCAGAGTGTGTACAATAAGATGTAATGCAAGACAACAGGCAGGGCTTGGAGAATTGTATCACAGTGTCTGACCTTGTTTTGCCACATCTCTCTGTGTTTCATATCTGTGTGTGTATGTGCATGTCTGTCCGTGAAATCATGTTGGTGTTTGCTTTCATATCTTGTACATGCTTATGTGTGTCAATGTGGTTTTGTGGTTGTTGTTATGTTTGTGTGTGTGTGTCATTTGTTGTATGTGATCGTCTCTAGGCCGGACTCTGCGGAAGGTTTTTCTTCTTGTCCTTCGGCTGGAAGTCGCAACGGAGAGAAGGACTGGGAGAATGATTCTACCACCTCCTCCACTCCCTCTAACGCTGAGTACACAGGTAGAAGTCACCCTGTTTACTTAGATAATGTACATTTACATGGCTTCTGTACATAACATGACATTTTGTTGCTGCACGCTCACGCCTGTGCTTTCTTCCTTTCCTCCAGGACCCAAACTATACAAGGAGCCCAGTGCAAAGTCCAACAAGCACATCATCCAGAATGCCCTGGCTCACTGCTGCCTGGCTGGCAAGGTCAACGAAGGGCAGAAAAACAAGATACTGGATGTATGTTCAGCATTTAGTGTTTGGCCTGTTTATTTATTCTTGAATTTAGAGAATGCATAGCAATGACTTCTTCCCATGATCTTCTGCAGGAAATGGAGAAATCCGAAGCCAATAACTTCTTGGTGTTGTTCCGTGACGCTGGGTGCCAGTTCAGGTCTGTGTACACCTACTGCCCCGAGACCGAAGAAATCACCAAACTAGCCGGCATCGGGCCCAGGAACATCACGACCAAGATGATCGAGGGCCTCTACAAGTACAATTCAGACAGGAAACAGTTCAGCCAGATCCCAGCCAAAACCATGTCCGCCAGTGTGGACGCCATCACCATCGCCAGCCATCTGTGGCAGACCAAGAAGCAGGGGACGCCCAAAAAACTGCATCCTAAGTAGTGCCAGATGGTTGGGCAAAATTTGAACATGCTTCTCTGGAAAGAACACAGAAGAATTTGTGGATTTGACTTTTTCATTAAAGGGACATGTGGTCCCACTGTTATAAATCACAACTGGAATGTAGAACACAAGTGGGCCTCTCAGACGTTGTTGTTACAATACAGAGCTGACTGTTACACTCTGGACTACTTAAAAGGGGCACAAGTATGTACTTGTCAGCATGTGTATCAATGTTTTCATGTGCCAAAAAAAGAGAAGAAAATAATAGGCGGACCATTGCCTTACCTAGTTGAACCACTGAAGCACTGAATGTCACGCCTCTGGAAGAGGCAGTTTGGTTTCTATAAGTTGATCATGTGTGGCCTTATGCTTGTTTTGTGTCATATGGATGCGCTGTGAGTGTTGGTGTCATTTTGTCAGCGCCTGTTGAAAAGGTCTGTTGTGGTACAGGAGAACTTGCGTGCACACACAGATCTGGGATCAGATTACGCCCCCTCCATGGTTGTTAAAAAGGTGGCCTGTCTGATCTGTGATCAGGTAGAGGCAGCGTTTTTGGTGAGGGCTTTGCTGCTATACAGGCACGTTTTTTTTTGTTTGTTTTTTTTCTTTTTTTCTTTTTTCTTTTTTACATGTGACTGAAAAACCTATGAGCAGTTCAAATTTGTGTATGTGTGTATAGTGAAGTGCCAAGAAGAGTGAGGAAAATACCTCAGTTGGTGATTGCAATTACTTTCCAAAAGTGTAAAGTGATGAGATTATTGAGCAAACGGAGTACCATCAAACAATTCTGGAAAGCACCTGCAATGGACTCTTAATTTATTATTGAAGATATTTTAAAAAGGCGTCTTAGATTTTATTCAGAGAAACATAATATACTGTAGGTATATAAGTTAAATTAGTTTGTATATAATGGCAGTTCCATTCACAACGAACAAGTCAGCTTGTAGTAGCTTTTGAGTAGCTTTTATAATTTATCATGTACGTGTATCAGTATGTTGTTGTTTGGGGCCTTTTATTGTGCTACAGATGCAAAAAGTGATCACTCAACAGTATCACTGATAAGACTATCATCAGTATTAGAATAGACGGAAATCCCACACTGTGTCATCAGTCTGTGCAATGATCAGAGTAATTTAAATAATCACCATTGACCATGTTGCAGCCAGAACTAAATACTAGATACTCCAAAATGTCACTTTAATGTGGATATTGTCTGAACTATTAGATCTTGATTACCCTTGAAGTAGTCCACAACTGTAAATAAATGAATTCACCTATGATAGCACTTCAAGACCCTGTCCACCGTCATTAAGTCTAATCAAAGATGTTCCCACTTCAGGACTGTCCTGCTTGTTACTCTACTTTGACATTACTGTTACATTTGTTATCACGCGTTCCTTCAGTATGTGTTGACACTGTACAGATATATTTTGGCATATAGAAGTATTTTTTGTAACGACATTTACCTGTTGGAGGTGCGTACTGATGAAGATGCAGAAGGAAGTGTGTTGAGAGCAAAGTGTAGCCGAGGAGGCAAGGTGTATGAAGTCTCACTGAGGCTTTGTTGTGGTATTGTATGAAATCCAGTGAGTATACTGAGAAAATCACACTATTTTTTCCAACTCTGAATTCATTTTCTTTTCAGTTAACTAAATATGCCCAATTGTTCATGGATTTCTGTTTTTTGTTTTTCTATTCCTTTGAGCTTTATTAAAATGCCAGCTATCAACAGTACTCATGGTGTCTCATTTCATATTCCTGTCTTGATTGATTCAAGTGTACTGTGATTCCTTTTTGTTTGAAACTGATATTAATGTTGATTGACATGATATCACTCTCTTGTCCTTATCTTTTCAAATACATAAGTAAATATCATGCGCCGATGCTTTACCTGCTGGTGCCATAATAATGTCAAGTCTTAAGCCTTAAGTCAGTTTTATTTATACCATAACAAATCACAAATTTCCCTCAAGGGACTTTACAATCTGTACAGCATATGACGCTCTCTATCCTTAGACCCTCAATTCAAACCATTTAATGTGGAAAAAAGAAAGAAATGTCCACGAAGAGCAACAAAGCATGGATCCTTTCTCAAGGATGGACAGACATGCAGCAGATGAAGTGGAGAATAAACCAAAATAGCAAGATTACAACACAGAAAATTAGGATGACACTGTAACGCAGGACCAGCCTTTCTTGACTTTGTATTTTAGTGTTGCAAATTACTTGTGACATTTGCAGTTAATCAAATTAGCCAACATGCAGTTAACCTGGAGCTTTGTGGGGCCCCTGAGGGTCTTGGGCCTAGGATTGTTGCCGACTTTGCCAGAGTGATCATCATTATTAGCCTTGATCATTATTATTGTGCTTTGTAGGTTGCACAAGCACAGACTATCAGAAGAAAAAGATTACAATAGGTCTGTATACTCTGCAGGACCATACACACATTTGTTGTCACTGTGCATTTGTTCCAAGACTAAACAAGAAAAAAAATTCAATTGTTGTCAGTCCAACAAAGGCGCAAGACACTGAGAGTGAAAGAGACACAAAATGACCACAAACAACACATTTTGTGTCTATCTCTGGTTGTTTTGTGCTGTTTTGCTTCTCTTTGTCCTTCTTCGTCTCTTAGGGTCATGTTGCATCTATATCGGTCCTTTTGTATCTTTTTCTGGAATATTTTGCAGGTGAAGACACGGGCTCCCTGACTCCTTGGGCCCCTGGAGCTGTGCTGGTTGGCCCTTTGAGTAATCCATCCATGACAGGCAGTGAGTGAGGACATTAAAAGTTGCGAGTTGAAAAGGACACTTTTGCAACTAAGATAAAAGGGACCCCCATTTCAGCACATTTGCACGACCCTGTCTTTTGGCTTGCATTTAATATATCTTAATACTCTGGTATTTGCCATAATCTATAAGATCATATTATCTCTGCCACAATATGTGACGATGTGGAGTCTCATGTGTGTGGAAGATGGATGGAGGCGGTGCTCCTGCAGGCGGCAGGAAGGCAGCAGGCAGGGCAGGGCAGCAGCACCGCAGCGTAGCGGCGCAGTAAGATCCAGCAAGGAGGGGACACAGTCAGACAAGGAGGAGGAGGAGGGACAGTCAGGCAAGACAAACAACACTGACAATACCGTCGTGACAGCGTCTGTCAACAGCACGGAACCACCCAGGGGGACAGCGTTTTCATCCCATGTATTTTTAGAAACAGGTGAGTATTAATCGCAGCACAGAGGCAGATTTGTGTTGTTGGTGGGGAGGCTGTCAGCGCGCACCCCGCCCGTCCGGCTAACTAGCGGATGATGCCTCTCTCCCCTCGGCCTGGCTAGCTGTCAGCTTCCCCTTCCAACCGCCCGTTAAATTAGTCAGCTTTGTATGAGCTCCAACGGTAACTAGCTGTTTGTTGGTTTTGCTGTAATCCGGTCGCTAAATTCACTAGCTATGTAAAGCTAACAAGTAGCCTAAGCTTCTTATACTATTTGACTTGTGGCTCAGTGCCAGTGTTATTAGCTAACCATCTCTCATGCTAGCTAAGCGGGACTGCAGTGCTTGTGTGCTTGCCTTGGGTTATTTGTGAGCTCGGTAAAATCGCTTTATTGTTAGTTTTGTGTCTGCTGATGTGCAATTGTTGAAGCTCGCTATTCAGATAGATAACCGCAAATACATTGGAGGCTACTTACAGTCATGACAGTAATATAAAAGACTATTCTCTCCTCTGTGAACACAACATGTGGAGAGGAGTGTGCATCCTTTCAAGCTAAGTTAGATACTGTAGTTGCTGCTTTTGCTGACTCTGTTGACTTAGCCTCTGTAAAATCATATCTGTTCAGTCTGTGGTGTCATAACATTTTGGCGAAATCACAACATTAGAAACTTGGGTTCAATGTGATGATTAAAAACTAACATACTGCAGACTGTGCCCTCACTATAGCCTGGTCATCTGACGAGGTAAAGCTGGACTCCTAGCATAATAGAAATAAGCAGCTGTATGTTGTTGGATAGTGCTTCAATGAAATACTGAAGAGCATTAAAGAGAGCAGAATCTCTGGCTCCGACATTTGCATAACACCACAAATGTATTTGAATTGATGGATCCTAAAGATAGTATGAATATGCAAACGAGTTTGTTGCAAATCATCAATCTGCACTGCTTGAATTTTACAGAGTAGGTGAGGCAATGTTGGATGAGATGTTGGCATGAGTATCATCTGCATGTTGGATGAAGGTTGATCAGCCTGTGGACTAAAATTAAAATCTGTATGAGGCCTCTTGTTGTTGTTCACCCTGCAAACAAAATGAGGCACTACTTATTTTAGATATGCATTTCATCACATGCATTGGAGGTGTCCAGTCAAACCACAGTCCTTCAGTCACTGCTGCTGACCAGCTCCACTCAAGCATCTGCGTGTCCTCAAGAGCAAATTGTCTTAAGGGCAGGGTGATATGGCTGAAATCATTATCCCAGTAACAACAATGATATTTTCTGATAATGATATGTATGATTTTGCATGTGAAATCACATGTACTGCAAGAGAATCGATCTGATATTCAAAGCAATGAACTGTGCCTCACTGTGTGTGTGTGTGTTTATACATAAGACCTTCATATTCAATTTTTTTTTTTGTCAGATTAATGAATTCAGACAACAAATAATTGCTGAAGGATAACATGATAAGAAAATATTATCATATGATTCTGCTGAAAGTCAGTAACAGTAATATTGAATAATTGCCCTACTTTCCACCTGTCTTTTCTCATTCTGGACCCGAGATTCAGACTCAATCTGATCACAAAACTGCTGTTCTGATTGCTGTTTTTTTCCTTTTGTGTGTTGCTGCAAAACTCTCCGCGGTGTCAGTCCGTCGTCACCATGACAGCGGAAGAAACGATAAATGTGAAGGAGGTAGAGATCATCAAGGTGATCCTGGACTTTCTAAACTCCAGGAAACTACACATTAGCATGCTGGCTCTGGAAAAGGAGAGTGGAGTCATCAATGGGCTCTACTCGGACGACATGCTCTTTCTCAGGTAGTTGAACTCAACAGCAACAATCACATCATAAAGTCAGGCTATGGTCGTGTCAGGTTGCAGCTACAAAAAGCTGCGTGCTATGGCACAGGAATAACAGGTAGCTATTCCAGTCTCAAGTTTAGTGTCTCTGATAGTGTCCTCTGCATTGTAGATAGTGTAACACTGCACCCGTGCATTAGATGTGAGTGCTCCCTTGTAAGTCAGCCAGCAGTGTGTCATCTGCAGTTCTACTCAGCCTGAGTATTAAATACATTATTTCACCTTCTAGTGTGAAGTGTCTGCTAACAGGCTGTCTCACCTTTGTCAAGAATATATCACAGCAATTAGGGATTCAGAGACCTTCCAGTGTGTTTCAATCAAAACATAATTTAAATTTGTTCATTTGTTGGACATTTAAATATGAGGACTCAGTTCCAGGTGTGGATTAAAATGCACCGTTTTTGTTTCAGGCAACTGGTGCTTGATGGGCAGTGGGATGAGGTCTTGCAGTTCATTCAGCCTTTGGAGTGCATGGACAAGTTTGACAGAAAAAGGTGAGTTCACTGGCTGAATCACTGCCAGTGTGTTCAAGTTCCCCTGTACTTTTTTGTACATCTTATTTTAACATTTATTAGTTGTTTGGCTCAAAGTCACTCGACCCCATGTGCTTCATAATTTCCAAGTTCCAAACAAACAACATGAACACAACTCAAACTGCTTGTGTTTTAAGCCGCTGTATGTTGCACTCAGGTTTCGTTACATCATCCTGAAGCAGAAGTTTCTGGAGGCTCTGTGTGTGAATAACGCCATGTCTGCAGAAGATGAGCCACAGCACGTAAGTCAAAACACTAAATTTGGTGAATTCATAGATTGTCAGTATGTTTTATATTATCTCAGCCTCCGAAACCTCCTAAGCCTTGAATATCCATCCTGTTGAATAGATTTTGTAACATCGCTGCTTTGTCTTCCCACTGACTGTCACTGATTGTTATTTCAGTAAACAAAAAGGCTGAATCTCAGAGACAAGAAGAGAAGCAAAAAACATTTTTTAATACGTGTCGTTTGAACAAGTAATCTTAACAAACCTGATGACTTGTTAACAAAGAGAAGAAAAGGCAGGCTTTGTGTGTGTATGCTCTACAGTGGCCACACTGTGGTCAAGGACTTATCTGGATTAAGCTGTTTATGTTTCTGAGAATAAACCATTTTGGAGAATAGATCTGTTCACATGTGATGTCCTGGAGAACACCTCGATTCTGCCAGTCATAAACTCTTAAAACAGAAAACAGAGACAGCTCTTAATCAAATCTAATACTTTTTAAATTCTAATTGGTAATAATTATCCTGCCAAATAAATAGATATGGCACACACGATTTCATATAATCACACATGCTGAGACACTCATTCTGTCTTCTCCACTCATATTCTTAAATTAGGCTAGCTGTGGGCTTGGTGTCACATGCCGTTTGTGACATTGTGCCAGAGCTATCGTGTCCTATTAACAGGATTGGATCAGACTTCTTTGGGCATCTGTGGGCATTGTATCAGCGCATGTGCTGACTGGCAATAGTGTGCTTAGGGCTGTGTATTGGTTGTTGTGATATGGCCTTGATTGTGTGTTGGCAATGACTTGTCAGGATGGTTCAGGATGAGATTTTAGGACAAATAGTTGTCCGCTTTTTCTTGAAGATTTTCTGATCTCTTGTGTATGTTAGCTGTGACGCTGGTTTTTTGTTTTTTCAGCCTCACATGAAACATTTAAAAGTCATCTGTGCCTCCAATGTGCTGCCAGAGATAAAGCTCTTTCAAAAAGTACATTGTTTTTCTAACTCTACTGTTCAGAGGGGAATTTTTCATCTGAAATGTATTTCATGTTTTTCAGTTGGAGTTCACCATGCAGGAAGCAGTCAAGTGTCTCCATGCCCTGGAGGAGTTCTGTCCCTCTAAAGATGACTACAGCAAACTGTGTTTGCTCCTCACTCTGCCACGCCTCACAAACCATGCTGAGTTCAAGGCAAGAATTTAGCTGTAGTAGATGTGCTGTGACTCCCCCTGTGCACCTTTCTTAACGACTTCACTCCTCTAACAGTAACATTTTTTGTTGATGATGTTGCCTCCCTGTGTTTGGGGTGTATCTTGATGTCTGTGCTTGGGGTCCCTCAGGATTGGAACCCGAGCACAGCCAGGGTGCAGTGTTTTGAGGAGGCGTGCACCATGGTGGCGGAGTTCATCCCAGCAGACAGGAAGCTGAGTGAGGCTGGGTTCAAAGCCAGCAGGGATCGCCTCTTCCAGCTGCTTCTCAAGGGAGTCCTCTATGAGTGCTGTGTGGAGTTCTGCCAGGTTTGAACAACTAAAACTAAACATAAATACAGATTTTTAAAAGTTCTTTGTACCTCTGAAGCAGTGTATTGGTGGTTAAGTTGCTGTTGTTCGATGCAGAGTAAGGCGACGGGTGAAGAGATCACAGAGAGTGAGGTCCTCCTGGGTGTTGACATGCTGTGCGGTAACGGCTGTGACGACCTGGACCTGTCCATGCTCTCCTGGATGCAGAACCTCTCCCACAGCGTCTTCTCCTGCGCCTTCGAACAGAAGCAACTCAACATCCACGTGGACCGCTTGGTGAAACCTGCTAAAACTGGCTATGCTGACCTCCTCACCCCGCTCATCAGCAAACTATCTCCCTACCCCTCCTCCCCCCTCCGCCGCCCCCAGTCTGCCGACACCTATATGTCACGTTCCTTGAACCCGGCATTGGACGGCTTGTCCTATGGGCTGTCCGGCCAGGATAAGAGAGCAAGCGGTGGGGAGATAGTGCCGGGTAAAGGGGTCTCTCCCATGTCCCACTCGTTTGCCAACTTCCACTATCCCGGAGCAGGAGGCCAGAGCCTGAGCAGGAGTCTCATGATGGAGAGCTCCGACTGCCACAGCATCTTTGAGGAATCCCCTGAAACGTAAGGGATCAGATCTACAGTTAAACCCGTTTCTGTCAAACTCTTTGTGTAGAGTTACAATTGGAGCAAGCCCTGTCAATTTTCTGACACACAGGCTTTATTCAACACCTTGTAACATGTCTTAAGTAATCTGTTGCTGTTGGGTGTGTTTTCTCTGTGAAGGTCGAGGACAGAAACACCTGTGGATAAGATGATGAGTTCATCTGGAGCTCAGAATCTGCGTCCTGCCTCCGCTCCGGGCGAGGATGCACCATCAGCTGGCTCTGGTGACAGGAATGAGGTAAACATCATTGACCTTTGCTTTTTAACTTGTTAGACCTGTTGCATGTCACACACTACTGAACAAGTCCTGTGTTTAATTATGTCCCTGTATTGTTTTGTTTTTTTTCTTGATGGGTGTTGCCGACAGTGAAAGTCTAAAATAGGGCATATCTGACAAATCTTTTTAGTACTATGTGTCTGAGTCATCCTCCTCCCACAGTTACAGCCTCATCACTGTCAAGGCTGACATGGCTGCTCAGAGTAATTTATTGGCTGTCTCAGTCCATCATAGCTCTGTGATTATCTCTGGATGGGAGATTTTTACTTTCTGTGGGAAGTCTTGACGTGTTGTAGTGTTAGTATGACTTCATCTTGTCCCACCACTTCATGAGTACCTTAAACCCTTGTGCATGTGAGAAATGGGCTTTTGTATATGTAACACATAGACAGGATACACATAGATTCACTACACTTTCTAAGGATATGATTATCTCAGATCTCCCATTGCAATTAAAGACTGTTAATCTTCTCAGGAATAGAAGTTGCATGAGAATCATCACAATTTTAACTTTTCTTAAGTATCAAAGTATACCAGTGATAGTTGTCTAAACAGCCATTTAGAGATTGCAAACAGTAACTGCTAATGGCTAATTCAGCAAGCTTTTAATGGTGCTAAGTTACCAATATATAAGCAAATATAGCCTGCAAAAAGTTTTAGCCCACAGTGTACCTCACTGAATCTTGCTTGATAAATTTGTATATTAATAATGAAATGTCCTTAGTGTTTGGAAAAAGATTTCATACAGTTATTTGCAAATTAATGGATTCTTATTTAATCATCTTATTAAAAATTAGGTTTTTTAAAATTTTGTTTTACATTACATTGTGACCATTGTGAGATATAAGGGAGCTTCAGTTGTTTTAAGTATCCAGCCAGTAACAAAGGAGGCTGGAGACCAGGGCATAGGTTTGCATGTGGACGGTAGGGACATGTCTCTACCAATATTTTGGGAGGACAGAATTGTCCCTACCAATCTTTGGGTGAACTTGTTCGCACTATGTTTGGAGTAAAGTCATATTAGAACATTTCAATGTGCCCTCCAAGAGGCTACGACCTCAAGACAACTGATTTAGGTATGCAAGCATTTGATTGACTGAAAGGGCGGGGGCTATTTCAACACTCACGTCATGTGAGATCATTGCAGTAGTACCTGACATCAACAGAAAAATGTCAACTGATTTTATTAACCATGTTAGCTAGCATTAACTAGCAAGCTAATCCTGGCTTCTGTCTGCTAGCTTCTAGCTGCTAGCAGTCAGGTTGCTGGCAGGAGTAAACATAAAATGGTGGCTATGTCAAAGTATGAGTTGAATTTCTGTCGAAAAATCCCATAAAAATGTTTTTATGCCTAACTATATTATGACTTTTTATGACATTTTATGCCTTACCATACTATGATTTTATGACTTTTTTTGTCTTACTATACCATGACGTTTTTGACGTTTTTATGCCTTACTATACTATGTTGTTTTTATGACTTTTTTTGTCTTACTATATTATGACTTTTTATGCCTTACTATACTATGACGTTTTTGACGTTTTTATGCCTTACTATACTATGTTGTTTTTATGACTTTTTTTGTCTTACTATATTATGACTTTTTATGCCTTACTGTATTATGGCGTTTTTTGACGTTTTTATACTTTATTATACTATGACGTTTTTGACGTTTTTATGCCTTACTATACTATGTTGTTTTTATGACTTTTTTTGTCTTACTATATTATGACTTTTTATGCCTTACTGTATTATGGCGTTTTTTGACGTTTTTATACTTTATTATACTATGACGTTTTTGACGTTTTTATGCCTTACTATACTATGTTGTTTTTATGACTTTTTTTGTCTTACTATATTATGACTTTTTATGCCTTACTGTATTATGGCGTTTTTTGACGTTTTTATACTTTATTATACTATGACGTTTTTGACGTTTTTATGCCTTACTATACTATGTTGTTTTTATGACTTTTTTTGTCTTACTATATTATGACTTTTTATGCCTTACTGTATTATGGCGTTTTTTGACGTTTTTATACTTTATTATACTATGACGTTTTTGACGTTTTTATGCCTTACTATACTATGTTGTTTTTATGACTTTTTTTGTCTTACTATATTATGACTTTTTATGCCTTACTGTATTATGGCGTTTTTTGACGTTTTTATACTTTATTATACTATGACGTTTTTGACGTTTTTATGCCTTACTATACTATGTTGTTTTTATGACTTTTTTTGTCTTACTATATTATGACTTTTTATGCCTTACTGTATTATGGCGTTTTTTGACGTTTTTATACTTTATTATACTATGACGTTTTTGACGTTTTTATGCCTTACTATACTATGTTGTTTTTATGACTTTTTTTGTCTTACTATATTATGACTTTTTATGCCTTACTGTATTATGGCGTTTTTTGACGTTTTTATACTTTATTATACTATGACGTTTTTGACGTTTTTATGCCTTACTATACTATGTTGTTTTTATGACTTTTTTTGTCTTACTATATTATGACTTTTTATGCCTTACTGTATTATGGCGTTTTTTGACGTTTTTATACTTTATTATACTATGACGTTTTTGACGTTTTTATGCCTTACTATACTATGTTGTTTTTATGACTTTTTTTGTCTTACTATATTATGACTTTTTATGCCTTACTGTATTATGGCGTTTTTTGACGTTTTTATACTTTATTATACTATGACGTTTTTGACGTTTTTATGCCTTACTATACTATGTTGTTTTTATGACTTTTTTTGTCTTACTATATTATGACTTTTTATGCCTTACTGTATTATGGCGTTTTTTGACGTTTTTATACTTTATTATACTATGACGTTTTTGACGTTTTTATGCCTTACTATACTATGTTGTTTTTATGACTTTTTTTGTCTTACTATATTATGACTTTTTATGCCTTACTGTATTATGGCGTTTTTTGACGTTTTTATACTTTATTATACTATGACGTTTTTGACGTTTTTATGCCTTACTATACTATGTTGTTTTTATGACTTTTTTTGTCTTACTATATTATGACTTTTTATGCCTTACTGTATTATGACGTTTTTTGACGTTTTTATACTTTATTATACTATGACGTTTTTGACGTTTTTTTGCCTTCCTTTACTATGTTGTTTTTATGATTTTTTATGCGTTACTATACTATGACATTTCATGCCTTACTATACTATGACGTTTTATGCCTTACTATACTGTGACTTTTTATGCCTTATTATACTATGACATTTCATGCCTTACTATACTATGACATTTCATGCCTTACTATACTATGACGTTTTATGCCTTACTATACTGTGACTTTTTATGCCTTATTATACTATGACATTTCATGCCTTACTATACTATGACGTTTTATGCCTTACTATACTGTGACTTTTTATGCCTTATTATACTATGACTTTTTATGCATTACTATACCATGACGTTTTTATGACTTTTTATGCTTTACTATACTATGATATTTTATGACTTTTTATTCCTTACTAAACTATGACTTTTTATGCCTTACTATACTATGTCGTTTTTATGACTTTTTGTGCCTTACTATACTATGACCGTTTATGCCTTACTATACTATGACTTTTTTATGACTTTTTATGCCTTACTACACTATGACGTTTTTATGACTTTTCATGCCTTACTATACTATGTCGTTTTTATGACTTTTTATGCCTTACTACACTATGACCTTTTATGCCTTACTATACTATGACTTTTTGTGACTTTTTATGCCTTACTATACTATGACTTTTTATGCATTACTATACCATGACGTTTTTATGACTTTTTATGCTTTACTATACTATGATATTTTATGACTTTTTATTCCTTACTAAACTATGACTTTTTATGCCTTACTATACTATGACGTTTTTGACGTTTTTATGCCTTACTATACTATGACGTTTTTATGACTTTTTTTGTCTTACTATACTATGATGTTTTTGATGTTTTTATGCCTTACTATACTATGACGTTTTTATGCCTTACTATAGTATGATGTTTTTGACGTTTTTATGCCTTACTATACAATGTTGTTTTTATGACTTTTTTTGTCTTACTATATTATGACTTTTTATGCCTTACTATACTATGACGTTTTTATGACTTTTTTTGTCTTACTATATTATGACTTTTTATGCCTTACTATACTATGACGTTTTTATGACTTTTTTTGTCTTACTATATTATGACTTTTTATGCCTTACTATACTATGACGTTTTTATGACTTTTTTTGTCTTACTATATTATGACTTTTTATGCCTTACTATACTATGACGTTTTTATGACTTTTTTTGTCTTACTATATTATGACTTTTTATGCCTTACTATACTATGACGTTTTTATGACTTTTTTTGTCTTACTATATTATGACTTTTTATGCCTTACTATACTATGACGTTTTTATGACTTTTTTTGTCTTACTATACTTTGATTTTTTAGACGTTTTTATGCCTTACTATACTATGATGTTTTTATGACTTTTTTTGTCTTACTATACTTTGATTTTTTATGCCTTACTATATTATGACGTTTTTTGACGTTTTTATGCCTTACTATACCATGACGTTTTTGACGTTTTTATGCCTTACTATACCATGACGTTTTTGACGTTTTTATGCCTTACTATACCATGACGTTTTTGACGTTTTTATGCCTTACTATACCATGACGTTTTTGACGTTTTTATGCCTTACTATACCATGACGTTTTTGACGTTTTTATGCCTTACTATACCATGACGTTTTTGACGTTTTTATGCCTTACTATACCATGACGTTTTTGACGTTTTTATGCCTTACTATACCATGACGTTTTTGACGTTTGTATGCCTTACTATACTATGACGTTTTTGACGTTTTTATGACTTTTTTTGTCTCACTATATTATGACTTTTTATGCCTTACTATATTATGACGTTTTTTGACGTTTTTATGCCTTACTATACCATGACGTTTTTGACGTTTTTATGCCTTACTATACCATGACGTTTTTGACGTTTTTATGCCTTACTATACCATGACGTTTTTGACGTTTTTATGCCTTACTATACCATGACGTTTTTGACGTTTTTATGCCTTACTATACCATGACGTTTTTGACGTTTTTATGCCTTACTATACCATGACGTTTTTGACGTTTTTATGCCTTACTATACCATGACGTTTTTGACGTTTTTATGCCTTACTATACCATGACGTTTTTGACGTTTTTATGCCTTACTATACCATGACGTTTTTGACGTTTTTATGCCTTACTATACCATGACGTTTTTGACGTTTTTATGCCTTACTATACCATGACGTTTTTGACGTTTTTATGCCTTACTATACCATGACGTTTTTGACGTTTTTATGCCTTACTATACCATGACGTTTTTGACGTTTTTATGCCTTACTATACCATGACGTTTTTGACGTTTTTATGCCTTACTATACCATGACGTTTTTGACGTTTTTATGCCTTACTATACCATGACGTTTTTGACGTTTTTATGCCTTACTATACCATGACGTTTTTGACGTTTGTATGCCTTACTATACTATGACGTTTTTATGACTTTTTTTGTCTTACTATATTATGACTTTTTATGCCTTACTACTGTATATTATGACGTTTTTGACGTTTTTATGCCTTACTATACTATGTGTTTTTTATGACTTTTTTTGTCTTACTATATTATGACTTTTTATGCCTTACTGTATTATGACGTTTTTTGACGTTTTTATACTTTACTATACTATGACGTTTTTGACGTTTTTATGCCTTACTATACTATGTTGTTTTTATGACTTTTTTTGTCTTACTATATTATGACTTTTTATGCTTTACTATATTATGACGTTTTTTGATGTTTTTATGCCTTATTATACTATGACATTTTTGAAGTTTTTATGCCTTACTATACTATGACGTTTTTATGACTTTTTTTGTCTTACTATATTATGACTTTTTATGCTTTACTATATTATGACGTTTTTTGACATTTTTATGCCTTACTATACTATGAAGTTTTTTGACGTTTTTAAGTCTTACTATACTATGACGTTTTTATGCCTTACTATACTATGACGTTCTTGACGTTTTTATGCCTTTCTATACTATCACATTTTTTTGCCTTACTATACTATGACGTTTTTATGACTTTTTTTGTCTTACTATATTATGACTTTTTATGCCTTACTATATTATGACGTTTTTGATGTTTTTATGCCTTACTATACTATGATGTTTTTATGACTTTTTTTGTCTCACTATACTATGACGTTTTTGACGTTTTTATGCCTTACTATACTATGTTGTTTTTATGACTTTTTTTGTCTTGCTATGTTATGACTTTTTATGCCTTACTATACTATGACGTTTTTATGCCTTACTATACTATGACGTTTTTGACGTTTTTATGCCTTACTATACTATGTTGTTTTTATGACTTTTTATGCTTTACTATATTATGCGTTTTTTGACATTTTTATGCCTTACTATAACGTTTTTGGCGTTTTTATGCCTTACTATACTATGTTTTTTTTAATGACTTTTTTTGTCTTACTATACTATGACGTTTTTGACGTTTTTGTGCCTTACTATACTATGACGTTTTTGACGTTTTTAAGTCTTACTATACTATGACGTTTTTATGCCTTACTATATTATGACTTTTTATGCCTTACTATATTTTGACGTTTTTTGACGTTTTTTATGCCTTACTATACCATGACTTTTTGGCATTTTTATGCCTTACTATACTATGATGTTTTTATGACTTTTTTTGTCTTACTATAACTATGATTTTTTTAGACGTTTTTATGCCTTACTATACTATGATATTTTTTATGACTTTTTTTGTCTTACTATACTATGACTTTTTATGTCATTTTATGCCTTAATTACTATCCACGTTTTTTTCCTACTATACTATGACGTTTTTGACGTTTTGTGCCTTATTATACTATGTTGTTTTTATGACTTTTTTTGTCTTACTATATTATGACTTTTTATGCCTTACTATACTATGTTTTTTTATGACTTTTTTTGTCTTACTATACTATGACGTTTTTGACGTTTTTATGCCTTACTATACTATGACGTTTTTGACGTTTTTATGCCTTACTATACTATGTTGTTTTTATGACTTTTTTTGTCTTACTATATTATGACTTTTTATGCTTTACTTTATTATGACGTTTTTTGACATTTTTATGCCTTACTATACTATGACGTTTTTTGCGATATTTAAGTCTTACTATACTATGACGTTTTTATGCCTTACTATACTATGACGTTCTTGACGTTTTTATGCCTTTCTATACTATCACATTTTTTTGCCTTACCATACTATGACGTTTTCATGACTTTTTTTGTCTTACTATACCATGACGTTTTTATGCCTTACTATACTATGACGTTTTTATGATATTTTATGCCTTACTATACTATGTTTTTATGACTTTTTTTGTCTTACTATACCATAACGTTTTTGACGTTTTTATGTCTCACTATATTATGACTTTTTATTTCTTTTTTTACCTTACTATACTATGACATTTTTTTGCCTTACTATACTATGACACTATTTTGCCTTACTATACTATGACGTTTTTGACATTTTTATGACTTACTAAACTATGATGTTTTTATGACTTTAAATGCCTAAATATACTATGTTGTTTTTATTACCTTTTTTGCCTTACTATACTATGATGTTTTTGACGTTTTGTGCCTTATTATACTATGTTGTTTTTATGACTTTTTATGCCTTCCTTTACTATGACGTTTTTATATCTTTCTATGCCTTACTATACTATGACGTTTTTTGACGTTTTTATGCCTTTTTTTGTCTTACCATATTATGTTGTTTTTATGACTTTTTATGCCTTCCTTTACTATGACGTTTTTATATCTTTCTATGCCTTACTATACTATGACGTTTTTATGACTTTTTATGCCTTCCTTTACTATGACGTTTTTATATCTTTCTATGCCTTACTATACTATGACGTTTTTATGACTTTTTATGCCTTCCTTTACTATGACGTTTTTATATCTTTCTATGCCTTACTATACTATGACGTTTTTATGACTTTTTATGCCTTACTATCCATGACTTTTTTATGCCTTAGTATACTTTAACTTCCGACACATATGTGACACATATGTCCCTATATCTAGAGTTGTGTTACCACATGTGTCACCTATAAGAGGATATATTATTATGACATATATACATCCTCTGTATATATGAAGATATAAGTTTATAACATACATGAAATACTCATAGTAAAATGCAACTTTATTAAACAACATTTAAACAACATTTTGTATGAAATTTAAACATACATCTACATCTACGTCTATATGTCATCTTTTATATTTACATATATAACAGGCCTTGGGATGGACGATATCTATCTAACACATGTCCAATATAAACAGACATACTAAAATACATGTTTCTATTAGCTATTCATATATGTCAATACAATACAACAATATATGATATTGTTCCAATTTCTAACAGGTTTGAGATGCTATTATTTCATACATAGGCTATACTTTAAATACATTCATGATTTTACTTCAAATGTACATATATTCATATATGGAAATTCAACACATGTACATATATTACATTTCCATATGGGTATTCCTGAATGTATAAACCACTTGGTTAAAAGCCAATCTCTTTGTTTTGGAGGGGTTGTGGGGTTGCTGCGTCCCTACCAGTGTTGACACCAAACCTACGCCTTTGCTCGAGACCCAGGTGGATTTGAGCACAGGTCAGTGGTGACACGTGGCTTGAGACGCTGGGAGCTTAACCACAAAAATGAGTCATTACTGCCCCCCTGTTGTCTGTAAACACGCTGTTAATTCAGTATCTGTGTCTGTCTGTCTCACGCTTTCTATTCTGGGCTCCTTGTGCAGCTCGGTGTGAAGTTAGTGCTTTGCTCTGCTGTGCCTGTTGCCCTGGAGACACATGAAAAGGCCAGAAACAGAAGCAGACTTTGGGGCCTCTATGATCTCACTGTCACGCTCTTACCCTCTCTGTCTTGTTTTCCCTCTCTGCCCTTCGTCCCTTTTTCCAGCACTGGCACACTGCCAGTCTCCCTCCCCTCCCCTGAAATAGATCCGCTCCCATCAGATTGTCAGGACAGGAAGCGGAGGACAGAGAGGGGAAGTGACCTGTCCTCAGCTCCCTGTCTAACCCCCCTTCCTCTAATACCTGAACTGACAGAAGACTGGGGTGGAGCAGGGTTCAAATGATCACAATGCTGACTTTGAATAGTGAATACTCACTACTGTACTAGAGTGGTACAGGTGATAAAATTTTGCATTTAAGCGATTTATCTAATTTGCTTATACAAGGTGATTCACCTGTCTTATTTACTATTAATGCAACAGTAGATTAATTTATTATTCATGAAGGACCTATGTGCAGCAGAGAGAAAAAATTAGGAATAAAATGAGTCCATGTATTCTTTTCATGGATCACTGGTTTTGTGCTCAATCCTCAGCTTCGTGACTCCACAGAGAAGTATGAGGAGTATTATCGCCAGCGTCTTCGTGTGCAGCAGCACCTGGAGCAAAAGCAGCAGCAGAGGCAGATGTACCAGCAGATGCTTCTGGAGGGAGGGGTCCAGCAGGAACCCCCGCCCAGCGACATGCAGCACAGCCTCACAGAGAAGTTCCTCAACAGGTACAGACACGATGGGAAAAGGTCTTAAATGCTGCCTGACAGACAGGAAGTGCATGTCCTGTATATAACACAGTCATATGGCAAACTTGTTGTCACAGTAGTTCTGGTGAGCGAGTTTGCTAATCACTGCATGGCTTTTAATATTGAGAAGGAGCAGCTGTCAAGACAAGAACAAGTAGACAGGTTAAGGCCTTGATAATGATGGCTCCCATGTGGCTTTCCCTGGCATGACACGCACCTCCCCCAAAACCTGCCTCCACTCCACACAGGCTGCACCATCTGCTGTGATGGGCTACATCACATCACATGGGATGTGATGTAGCCAAAAAAATCTGAAACATCTACCTTGGTAACTTTAAAATGCTTTCAAATCACAAGAGTGCATTTAGCTTCAACAACATGAGAAAAATGACGTAGAAAATTTTTTTTGCATGTGTCAGCAGGACAAAGGCCCTTTGATTTGTCCCCCGAGAGTTCCTCCCAGTCCTCCCTCTCCCCTACCTCTCCTTGTCTCTGTAACCTCTGCATTATTCACAAGGGTAGCTGTGCATAATTACATCATTACTTCAGTTTTCTTTTGTTCTGTGCTCTTTGTAGTTTTAACTAGATTTAACTAGGCTGTCAACTCACTCAGTGCTCTAACAGCCTGTACCCAGAAGTGAAATACAAAGTGATGAAGGTTCCCTCCTAAACTAAATACAAGAAAGCCCTCTGGAACAAGAAAGGCAAAGGCTGAGTGTTTATAGAGACAGAGATCATGAATGTACATGCACATGTATTTGTTTGAATTACTCAGGTCCATCCAGAAGCTGGAGGAGCTAAACGTGGGAATGGAGAATTTAGGGGAGGAGGTGAAATCTTTGGCCCAGCAGTGCAATGGCAATGGGAACACGCCCGCCTCTGAAGACAATAACAATCCCCCATCTGTGACCCCGGAGCAGAGCCGGACCCAAGGGGGAGGAGTGCTCAGCAGTACCCCACAGCGCACGGTGGGGGGGTGCGAAGTCACGCCACCAAATGAGTCCCCTGTTGTCTCTCAGAGGTAGGTGTGTTTTCTTTTTGTGCATGGACATTATTTCATATCAAGAATTAGATGATGACTATGTTTTCTGTTTGCTGGCAGTGGGCAGAAACAGGCAGGAGGTCAAGAAGGTGACTCTCCAGGCTCCTTATCCCGAAGTAAACAGGTAGGGATGGAAAAAAATAAAGCATGTTAACACAGCAACATTGAAGCCAGCACTGAAAATAATGTTCACACAATTCTGTCAGACCTGCTGTAAATAACTCATACCTCAACAAGCGTGTAATCATCTCGCTGAACCTGAAATGACTTCTGTTCGTTCACGGTCTTTATTGTTTGTCATTTATTGTCTCTCACATTAACTGTTTGGTTCTGGCATTCTGCAGGAACAGTTGTTACTCATCTTCCTCTGAGCTTCTCTTATCTGATTTTAAAGTTCATCACATTCCCTCCTTTTTTCCTCATAGCCTAGGACGATACAGTGTAATGCCAATTTGACTAAGCAGATTACAACAGTTTCATGTGAATGGCAGTGATGTCACATTGGCATCACGAGAGGACGGATGTCAGAGGGCAGAGAAAATCAAAGTAGATTATACTGCTTATGACATGTAATCTGTGTGTTAATGTGTTTTCATATGTGGGTGTGTTTCCAGAGTGACAAGCCGAAAGGTCTGTTTGTGCCCGTGCACAGTCTGGAAGATACTCAGGCTATTCGTGCTGTTGCCTTCCACCCGTCTGGGTCGCTGTACGCTGTGGGATCCAACTCCAAAACACTACGTGTGTGCGCTTATCCAGAAACACTGGACACAAGGTAACCTGTGGAAGAAGAACAATGTCCATCACACTTTTGTTTCTCTTATCATGAGTAACCCTCTTCCTTTCAAAAATTGATTGATAGCGTACAAAGTCCCGTACCTGTAGAGCCATGACCTTAATTTGGCAGTCCAATACTTTCTGCTTTCAAGGCCAACATACACCATAGAGAATACCAACTACCTTTTAAATATCTACCATTTTCTCACCTTCTCTCCTATTATTTATCTTTCCTCTTCTGTCTTTTAATCTCTTCTCCTAAGCAGCACTCCAACGAAGCAGCCAGTCGTCCGCTTCAAGAGAAACAAACACCACAAAGGCTCCATCTACTGTGTGGCCTGGAGCCACTGCGGGCAGCTGCTGGCGACAGGCTCCAATGACAAATATGTCAAAGTTTTACCTTTTAGTGCAGAGACGTGCAACGCCACAGGTGAGCGAGCTCTGCGTGAATACACAATGACAGTCATGTTTGTTGGTGTCAGCAGCCTCATTTTTTTTTTGTCTGTGTGTGTCTTTGTGTCCCAGGCCCAGACCTGGAGTTCAGCATGCATGATGGCACCATCAGAGACCTGGCCTTCATGGAGGGTCCAGAAAGCGGAGGAGCCATCTTGATCAGCGCCGGAGCAGGAGACTGTAACATCTACACCACTGACTGTCAGAGGGGACAGGGTCTGCACGCCCTCAGTGGACACACAGGTACACGGACTGCTTCATCCCTCCACCCTGTCCTTCTGAACTCAAAACATGAAGTGCAAAGTCAAAGATGGAACAACTGCCACTGAGAAATGTGTCATTTTTGCTGTCCAGGTCACATTCTGTCTCTGTATACATGGGGAGGCTGGATGATTGCCTCCGGCTCCCAAGACAAGACGGTGCGTTTCTGGGACCTCAGGGTGCCCAGCTGTGTCCGAGTAGTGGGAACTGCTTTCCACGGCTCAGGTATGGCTGCGTGTCATTCCTTTCACCTGCATGCATGGAAATTGGAAGTTGTGAGCAATGTATGACACCAGAAGTAGCTCTGCTTCCATAATGGCTGCCGGTGCTCTAAGTCAGCACAGAAAGATTTTCACTGGAATCATATGCTGATTTTTACAGCTACACCCCTTTTTTTTCCACTCTACAGGCAGTCCCGTTGCCTCGGTAGCAGTCGATCCGAGTGGCCGTCTCTTAGCAACAGGACAGGAAGACAGTGCATGCATGCTGTATGACATTAGAGGAGGACGCATCGTTCAGGTGTACCGGCCGCACAGCAGCGATGTCCGATCTGTTAGGTTTTCCCCTGGAGCACACTACCTGCTCACCGGTTCCTATGACACAAAGGTCATGGTCACCAACCTCCAAGGTATGTTGCATTTAATGTGAACCATTATCCACCACTAGTTTCCTTCAATGTGTTACTGTAATTATTAGGAGGTTTTTTTATATCTGTTAATGGTTAAACCAGATAATTTAAACACCAAACAACTAGTAACCCCCTGACCTAAAGAGTCTGGAGGAAAACTTGTGAGATGTGGTTTTGGCTTTAGCAGTTGTCTGTCATGATGTTGTATGTGCCTGTCTGAGCTGTGTTTCCTGTGTGTTTCTAGGTGACCTGACCAAACAGTTGCCTCTGACCGTGGTGGGAGAGCACGGCGACAAGGTGATTCAGTGTCGATGGCACACACAAGACCTGTCCTTCCTCTCATCCTCTGCTGACCGCACTGTCACACTCTGGACACACAACCCATAACACACACACACACACATGCACGCACGCACACATGTGCACACACACACCCCTACACCCCTAAAACAACACTGCTCCTCCAGCACTATCAACTCGGTCACACCCTTTCAACACACCTGACACTTAGAGCCTGAAAACACACACTCTCTCTCTCTCTCTCTCTCTCTCTCACACACACACACGCACGCACACACAGGTGAATGAGCCTTTCCCTTCTGTCTGTAGGAAACCAAATGGATACAAACCTGTGACGCATCAAAAGCACACATGTTGCATGTTCTCCTTTGTCTTCACATCTCTCACATTGCAGTTATCCCACTGATTGTTGTCATCTTGAGGAGGGTAAAACAGCAGCATCATTCATTTTTCTCACTTCATCCACACGGTGTCATTGTACATCCTCACTCCTTACACACCAGTCATTTGCTGCATGTCCTATTCACAGAGGAGTTGTTGAGGTTAGACAGGACAGAGTGCTTTGTTCATGATGGTGCCTTCCTTCAGTTCTCAGTTTCCATAACAAAAATGTAAAAAAAACAAACAAAAAAAGATAATATGGTCATTTTTCAGGATCAAATTTTGTCAGTTATTTTGAAGAATCCTACATTCCTTCTTTTGCATATCATTTTCTTACAGCTAGTGTAATGCTGCTATATTGTTTGGGAAAACAAGAGTCGAATTTATGGTGTAAAATGTAATTTTTCAGTGTGTCAGTAGTGAGCTTTTCCTATCCGAAGGCTGAATCTGTGGACATCAAACTGCCAATCAGTCAGCTGTTGCTTCCCTGTGGGATGTACTGATGTCTAATGTTACTGTGTCCACTGCATTACTCCAACTCAAAATGTGTAAATTAGCTTGTGCATTTGTTTTAAATTTGAAATCAGTGTTTTTGCGCTGTAGTTGTTACAGTGTCTTGCAATGGCTTGCTTGCAATGGAAGATCGTTATTATGTCGGCATCAAAGGGAAATACAAAGTGTAATTTTTGGTTGAGCGCCCTAGCATTCAATTTAGGATTTTTAAGTGTTTAAAAGCTTTGGTTTGTCTACTGCTGTAATAATATAACAACAGTAGGTGGCAGTCTTTTCCCATAAAAAGGGTCTAACCATATGCACAACGAAATCTGAAAGGAAGCACGGGTGTTTTGATATTTATTTAGAAACAGTATTTGGGGCATATGCATTGTATTCTTTTCTTGTATTTTACATGCGCACTTTTGTCTTTTAACAATTATTTACTTACAAATATGCATATTTAAGTTTTTATGTTAATGTATAGTATAACAAATGAGGCCAAACTAATACGTACATAGATGTATTTATTTCAGTTGTGTTTATGTATGTACAGTTATTAGTATGTTTTGGAAATGCTAGTGGCTCTTGTATTAAGCCTTTCTAAGTCTTGTTTTTAAAGGTGACTTAAATTAATTCAAGCTAACTCAAGTCAGACTGCTGGTACGTTAAATAAAGTGTCTTTTACACAAGCTGTTTGTGTTGTTGAGATGAGTTTACATTTAAAAGAAGTCAAAACAAGATGCCTACATGAATGCGGGTTTATTTATCTGACCTCACTCAAAAGATTTAGTACAAAAGACTATAAGGGCTGTACAAGGGTTAAATTCATTCTTTTATCAAACAGTTTGCTTACAATAGTTTTTGTTAAGTTTCCTCTGTCTGACCTCGGTAACGCTTAAACCAAACAAAGACCTCACATATAAACAAAACACATGGAAAGAGTGCTGTACCTCTGTGAATATAACCACATTACTTCATAGTGGTGGGACGGCAGAATCATAACAATCATAAAAAGTACAATAAATACAAACATAACTGCAGTTGTCTATTGAAAAATGAAATTTGCAGGAACAGAGAATCATTAAAAACAGTGAATAAAAAAAACAACAACACTTTTGTCCCTGATGCTACTGAGAGTTTGTGCAAGTTGTGCGAAATGAGTCCTCATTAATTTGAGATATTTCCATACTGTACACTACATACAATGCTGACAGTGCTTTGTTTTGTCTAAAAGGATGAATGTAAAGAGACAGAAGGGTTTCTTCTGAGTGACTGCCCCACTGGTCAATACCAACGCTGTCCACTCCTTCATGAGTCTAAAAAAAAAGAAAAAGACACCTGTCTGTCCCTTTAGTGCTTAGTTCATTTGGAGCTGGAGCTGGAGCTGGAGCTGGGCCTGGCTGTAGTGTTAGCTGCTGAAGGCAGGGTGACGCGTTGCTCGTCCATTCGTTTGGCCTGAGAGCGCATGATGAGGCTGAAGAAGTCCTCATCTGGTACAGTGGGCCCTCGGACAGGAGGAGGGGGAGGGGCACACCGCTGGTCATCCAAACGGGACCCCTGGAAAGAGGGAATATGAGTTTGAGATCTGGTAATGGGTTTTTAACGTTTCATATTAGGAAAAGCACATGATAATTTCTTGTGTATTAAATGCACTGTATGCTTATCAATGTGCAGGAATTTTTGGTCCCATCAGGTACCTGGCACTTGACAAGCATGTCAAAGAAGTCGTCGTCAGGCTCAGGGTTGTCAGCATTGGCCATCAGGTGGTTGAGCACGGCCTGGTTGCTGTTTTGATGGAGCCTGAGGCCGGGCAGGCTTCCCCCTGTTGCTGACGACTCCTCTAACCGTCTGCCTTGAGCACCTGAGATGTTAGCGGACTCTGACACAGCTGCAGAGTTAGAGACAATCCAAGGAGTGGCAGAAGAGAGACAGGAGAGATGTTTTATTTCGTTATGACAAGGCAAGAAAAGTTTTACTGTAGGAATGGAAGGACTTTTCAGTGTTTGGATTTCTGGACTCACATTTCCTGATGGCTCTAGGAGGCGACTCCGGGACACTGTTTATGGATAACCTGCTGCCCTTAGCCTGTATTGAACAGCGTTGGTCATCCATACGGTTGCTCTGGAAACGGCTCAGCAGATCAAAGAAGCCCTCGTCTCCGAGCATATCAGGACTGAGTCGCTAATAAACAACAAAACACACACACGTGAAAAACAGTAACAGAACAGACCTTGTTTGATGATAGCTGCAGAGACTGAATGAGGCATGTTAGTGTTTATCAGCTCTCCCTGTACTGTGTGTACCTTCTGTGGTCCCTGCGCAGGGGTCTGACTGGTGTCCAGGGTGTTGCTGGTGTCCTGGAGGACCTTACTGGAACCACCGGTCTTGTACTTCTTCCCACGCAGACGGCTGACAAAGAACAGCTTGGAGGAGCTCTTAGCCAGAGAGGGTTTGGACTGTTTGGTCAGGATGTCGCTGTTCCACTTCTGACCCTTAAATACACAGAAATGGAATAGTTACCACAATGAAGAAGGAAACGAGGAAAAAAGACGATAAGGACAAAACAAAAACAGGGAGAAGATAAACTATCCATTCATCTGTAGCAATAAAATCTGGTTTTAGCAGCGTAGCATGAGTTGAGCAATGGTGGAACATACAGTATGTGCTAAGTAAAGTTAGAAAAGCATTTCTTACATTCATCTTGTCCGGAGTGAGTTTCATCAGCTCCAGGTTCTCCATGCTGTGTCTTCTGCCCATCCTGGGCCTTGCTCCTAAAACACAGGAACACTGTTAACACCTGTTATACAAAAGATGCTGTTAACACAAGGTTCAGGGTGTTTGATTATACATATATTTTTTTTTTTACCATGCAGGTTGTAGTCTATATCTTTATTCTCAGAGAAGGTGGAGTTATTTGTGCTGTAGCTCAGACCCAGAACCATCTGGAGATCAGACACGTTCATACGAGCCGTCAGCTCTCCGCTCCTGTCTCCAGTCTGGAAACAAATGAATAAATAAAAATACAAACAAAAACAAAGTATACACACAGGAAGGTTAGCTTTCCAACTGTACAATACCTTGAGCTGCTGTAAATTTTAATGTATTTTATTTATGTACCTCTTTGCAGATTTCCAGGTGTTTTTCAGCAAAGTGCATGGCTTGATCATGGTTCCCCAGTGCAGTGTGAGCATTTCCCAGACTCCAGCATGCACGGCCCTCCCCAATCCTGCAGTACAACACAGTTTAATCCATGTACAGGGGCATATTTAAAATATAGTTAACATCAGCATGAATTCTTATTCCAACAGTGAATATATGTGTGTGTACCTGTCATTGAGGTCCTGGGCTATGATGAGGTGTTTCAGGTGGTAGTCTATGGCTCTCTCGTAGTCCTGGAGAAGAGTGTAGGTGTTGCCCAGACTGTAGCAGGCCTGGGCCTCCACAGCTCGATCCTTCAACTGCCTCGCCAGCTGCAGTGTCCTCCTGACAAACACACAGACAAGCTGGGTCAACACGCAGCAGAGAGAAGCACAGTCTGGGGACAACAAATAATGTCATACACAAGGGACAGTTCCCTTTTTTCTCTTTCTTTTTTTTAGATATTGAGATTATTCTTTACAGTTGTCAATATTTAAGCTTCTCATGGAAGACAAAAAGAAACAAACTAAAGCCAAATTTATCACACAATTGTGATATGTCACTCCACAGACTGAGTGTTTGCACAGTAAACCACCTTCCATCCTGCTGGTTCTGGTAAGACTGCTGTACTTTCAATCAAAGACATAAATTTTTAAATAAATTGCACAACTTTATATCTGTTTAGATAAGTGAACACTTAATACCAGTGTATTGTGTGACGTGAACATACTGTATGCCCTGTCGTGCTTTTTTATGCGGAAAATTATTTAGAAAGATCAATGTGTGGGCTGTGGCTTACTTGTAATGCTCAGCTGCCACTTCAAATTCCCCCAAAAAGATATAGGCGTTCCCCAGGTTGCAGTAAGCCCGTCTCTCTGCCGAACGGTCACCAAACTCCTTTGCTATGAGCAAGCGCTGAAATAGAATAGTGCTTCATTATTTCTCTTATTAAAGTCACTTTAATTTGAAACTTAGCTTTTAATTGAAACATGTTTGTAATGGATTTGGGTTTGAAAAAAAAAAAAAAAAAAAAGAAGATTCCCCCTACCTGTTCATGAGAGGCCACGGCTTTGCGAAAGTTTCCCAACAAATAGTGTGTGTTGCCGAGGTTCCCATAGGTTCGACCCTGGGCAGCCCGGTCTTCAAGCTCCTTCACTATCGCTAAGTTTGCCCTGAAAATACACAATCAAGTCAGATGTTTGATATAATAGCAGCAAGGAACCGTATCATTAATATGTATTGAATAATGAAAAGATTACTAAAACCCACACACACTCAGTAACTTACTCATAGTACTCTGCTGCCTTCCTCAGTGCTATCATGACCTCCTCTGGGAAGTCTCCAGGCTCAGCTCCACTCCAGCAGATACTTTTCCCTTTGGCATGGTACACGTTCCCAAAGTTATACAGAGCTCGTGCCTGACCCACCTGACACAAATCAACAAAAAAAACATGTCAGTGATCACAGTCGGTGTCTTCTGAAATCCCCCTCATACACTAGAGAATATTTCACTGTATACATTATCACTTATTTGCAGCCTCACCTTGTCAATCATGTCCCTCGCTATGTCCAAGTGCCTCTGACAGCAAACCACAGCCTCATCAAACCGCCCCAACACCTTTAATGTGTTGCCAAGGTTTCCACTGGCTTTGGCTTCTCCAAGCAGGTCACCAATTGTTCTATACAAGACGCATTATGTGAGCAATAATAAAATAATGATCTATTAGTGGATTCAAGAGGGCTGTTGTAGGTCTTACCTGGTCAAGGTGAGGTCATGCCGGTGGAACTCCAGGGCCTTCGCGTAGTCATGCAGGTGGAAGTAAGCATTGCCCAGCTGGCTGTATATGGCACTGAGCACCTGCAGGTCCTCTGTGCCTACCTGGATGGCAGCCTCAAAGAAGGAGACGCCTGCTCTGTAGTCGCCCACCTTACAGAGCCGCTCACCCTCCAACGCCAGTTCCAGGCAGGACACCTCCATCCTACAGCAGACAGAAGCAGCGTCAGTCCAGCAAGTGTCTTGTTTGAACTGGCTGAGCCTCAAGAAAAACAATTAATGAGCAGCTCAAAAGTGTCTAGAATCCAAATACAGTAATGCAACCCAAATTGAAGAAGTTGTGGAGAAACAGATCTTCCCTGGCTGTGACCTACAGCCAACTGACTGGACCTCTTTCTAAGCAAAGGCTTTCAGCAGGGAATGTTGTTTAGCTACTTCCTTCCACCAACAGAGAACAATGGCTCAAACTGGGCCTCATTTGTTATGGTAGAGCTCACATCCTTTTGACATTGCCTCAGAAAGTGAGGTGGATTCCTTTTACAGTCAAATGAAGCAAAGAGCAAACAGACATGCCATAGACAATGTTCATCATTACAGGACATTACTTCCAAGCATTTTCAGTCATTATACCGCAGATACATGTTCACAGATGTTCTGACTATTGAGATTTGTGAGTTGGTTCTTAAAAGTCAATCTTTTTTATGTAAGAAATAATCAAATTCACATTATCTTAAATCTTTGACAATATAGCTTGTGTTATTGTTATTCTTAGCAATAAGTAACTGAAAATTCAGTTTGTTGGTCACTGGCTTCTTGTAGCATAGAAAAATAATATAAGAACCTAGGATATGGTTTTTAGCATGCAGTTTGTAGTGGGTCGTCCAATTCAACTGAATAACTAAGTCTTGTGGAGTTATAAATGAGTTAGGCTCAGGCCAGATGAAAGGAGTGTCAGACAATGGCTGGTGGCTTATCTGCAGATGGATTATCTTTTAAGCAGCATATTTGCGCAAAGCAAAAACTTTTTTTCAGGAAGCTGTATTGTTGGGGAGGGATCGGCTTCACACAATGTCTTTTCAGTTTGTTTATCTCAAGCTTTCCTTATGAACCCGACCCAAGGTTTTGTCTGAAAGACACTGACTCAGAAACACTAATGCAAAGACACAACCTAGACTGGACTCGTCACGTGAGGTAAAAGATCACATAGTCTATGTCGTGCAATTAAAATGACACAAAAAACCCACACACAGTAGCTTCTTTCGTCACCCAGCAAGTCTATAATTTGCAAACAAAGGCAAACATGTTCTCCTGAATAGTCGATAAACTTCATGTAATCAGCAATCTTAGGCCTTAAATTAGAAGAACCTTTGTTTACTACCAACAACATATCATTTAACACTAAAGCTGTGGCAAACACTAGCCTACCTGCTGGCTTTTCGTGTCTTACAACAACAACAACAGCAGCACATGGAACATCTGAGAGGCATCTACTGAGGTTTCCACTGGAAAAAAGGCTGCTGCTCCTTCTCTTTCTCTGAAGCATGGAGAGATTAACTCAATGTAACTTAGTAGCCTATACTAAAAAGTGATGAAGATCTTGTTTGTTGTTCAATGAAGTCAAAAAAAAAAAAGGTATTAAAAATAGCCTTCCTTTGAGATATCAAAACCACTGGACATCTGACGTCACAGAGATAATTTAGCATCACGCATTGGAAAACTATCAAGGAGACATGTGTGATGTTGTCACCGTATTAACTTCCAATGCATGGCATCAAGGAAACTGCTCAATCAGCATTTTCTTAGTTAATCTGATTGTCTTTCTTTCAAGCTCTCTCTTCTGACCTGGTCACCTTAGATTATGGCTGTAGAGTGTGTACCTGACAGATTAAAGAGCTGCTGAGTGCTAAGTAGCTTTGTCAGACGTGTCGGACACAAGCAGACTGGTGTGGTATAATGGAATCAATTCATTGAAGGTAACCCTCCTGACAGCAGTAGCTATTGGAAAAAAAGAAAAGACATCCTCCCACCTAGCAGATGCCTACAGTATCCAAACAAGATGGACACACGTGTGTCGAAAAACAAAGCCGGCAGTGATGAATTTTTCAGGGCTTGTTAAATATTGAAGCTGGAGCAGGTCTTTCTATGTTTGGCAGGTTGCACCTGCTGCCAGAGCTCTTTATCAGCATATGTAGGAACAGCTGACTGATGGCTTTTTTTTTTTTTAAAGGAAACTCACCTGCCTTTAGTCAACAAACTCACTGAAAACACAGTGAAAAGAGACTCCCACTCCATAATTTGACTTAAACCTCAAGTCCACCTCTTCTCCACATTACACATGATACCGTCACTTCTTCAACAAGGCACCACAAAATAAATAAATACCTCATCAGTTACCTGACACTGGCACATCTAACATAACAGGCATTAAAATAATTGCAAATATAAAGAGATTTTGTTCTTCTTAACCTTCAACAATTAATTTCATTAATAGTCCCACTTAAAACTAATGAGGGGGAAAAGATGAAAGGCTAAAAAACAGAGCCACACTTTCTATTCAACAACTATATCTTAGTTGAGAGAGGAGAGTCCTACCTGTAGCGGACATGAAGGGACTGGTCCTTAGCTCGCGTGCTAACCAATGAGCCACTGGTATCCATTGAAGTGCATAATATGAGGGAAAATCCCAGTTTTGTTCCCGAAAAAATGGTTGCGTTTAAAAACAACAGCTAACAAGAAAGAAAAATGAATCTCTGGTCAAGGGAGAGTCGAGAAAGATCCAAACAAAAAGTCACTCAATGTGATGAAGTATGCAAATGTCCCTCTGCTGAATGTTGACAATGAAGAGTAACCCCACGAGTGTTAGACAGAGCCGAGTCCTGCGAGTCAGTCCACACGGCTGCTTTCGTATACAGTGAGTTTTGCGTCACTGCCCCTCAATCTCTTGTCAGCTGCTCACTGTGAAGAGAACACAAGATGCTGTATGTGAAGCCTCATTCTGGCCACACGGTGCCATGGCAACACCAACCAAACAGCAGCGTGCACAAGTGGGGCAGGCAGCAAGCGAGAGAGCAGGGCGGGAATCAATGGATGGGGTCAACTCAGGCAAGCTGTCAATCTAAGATGGTGACTCAATTCATCCAGGCTTGGAAATGGAAACGCTAAAGTTGCAACAAGGTGAGAGAGCTATGTGCGCATCAGGATGTAACGGGAAGGATGTATGCAAGCAGAGAGTTGCCATGATTTATCCAGAATAATGTCACTAAATTAAAAGAGAAGCACTGACACACACCAGTCACCTCTTGCAAAAGGAAAAAAAAGATAAGCATATCAACCTACTGTGTGTATGTGACTTCCACCACAGGAAAGGACAGCGATAAGCAAGCTTCATGGTTTAAAATACACTGCACAAACTTAAGACCAGAACCAGCCATTACCTAATTTTTCCATGCAGCCACACCCATATGTCCCCCAACTTTAACCCATAATCCCCTCCCCTCTGCACACACGCAAAATAGGAAATAGTGGCAGACCAGTTATTAGCAAACTGGGTTATTTCTTTATACTAAAAAACATCTAAAAATGGCAAACGGTCAGTGTGTCTATTTAAAAACCTTTCAGAGACAAAAGGGTGTCATTCATTTATTTTATAGATTAGCATTGAAATGACCATAACTAAATTCTTTTTCCATCAAAATGTTCAGACCTACATACATGCCACTCATTGGTGGCCTATTCATATTATCTTACCTTATCTTTACCTTACCTTACCTTACCATATTCCCATTATCAACAAAATAACTATGTGAATATATGAGAAATTATTTGGTTGTAGCGGTTGGGCATGTGACTATTCACATCAATGACGAGCAGGTTTAAAATCCAAAATGATTAACTGAGAACCTGTAGTTCGTAAGTTTTATGAATTGTAAAATGACTCTGTATGATAATTATGAAGATTATTACTTGATTAGCTATTTCAATATTACTTAAAAGTCAAAGAGCACAAATCTTAAAAACAAATGACAACCATAATAGCAACAAAAAACTGTTCTGACAACATGCAACATCTCAGTCATGCTTCATTCATGTAAACTGACATATTTCTCTCATTGAGGCACAAAGCAGTGGATATTTGACACTAAACTTAGAATTCAGGGGGCATTTTAGACTTTAGAACCAATAAAAATACAGATAAAGCCTTAAAAGTGTGTGTTTGTGCACATGAATGAGTGAATATAAGAGGGACTTTGCTGTTGATTCAGCACATTTCAAGAGACTTATCTTTTAACATAATCTACAAATTAACTACCGGTAAATAGAAATTTATATCTTATATGCTATGTAGTTGTGTTTGAAAACCTTGTCCTAATAGAAAAGAAATGCCATAGGAATCAAATTATCTTTTTTCCCAGCCTGTTATTCCTGCTTCTAGTTGAATGTGAACAGTTATGGCACAAACTAAAGCCCAAGGCTTTAAAAGTCTGTGCAGTACATGTTCGGTCACATTATTATAATCACCAATTGATGCGTGCCAGTTTAGGTGCAGCCTTTTCCACCACTGTATGCCAACTGGGTGTGTTTTCATGAGACCTGCCCTACTCACAGAGCTGCAGTTTGCATGAAGAAGTGTGTAACATGGTGAAATATAATGACAACATCACAAGAGGTCATCACTGACTCTTTTTTTGAGTCACAAATAGGACATGATTCCATCTTGAACACACAATACATGTGATCTATTTTCTTTGCGCTTACAATCCACTGATGCACTAAAATTACTACTGCCTCTGACTGCACAATCTAATTATGGAAACACCACTCAGAAGTACACCATGAGGCAGCAAAATCTTGAATCAAAACAAAAGAAAGAAACAACTAAATATGTACTGGGATACTGACCGGTAATTCTTCCACACAGGAACAGGAAATCTGGGAAGCCTGCAAGATAAAGTAACGTGACCATGAATAAGTTTACATCTAAAATGAACTGGTGTTGCAGTATTTGTATGGAAATTTGTATAATTGCCTTGCATCATTGATAAAACATTAATCTAATACTAAATGCTTGGTGATTTAGTACTCCACTCCAGATTACATATATGCTGAATTGCCAGTTTATTAGGTACAGCTTCCTAAAACCCAATGTATATAAGAAACAAAGTGTACCTAATAAACTGGCAACTGAGTGTATATGCCACATTGTAAAGGTTTAAGTGTTGTGGGTGTAATGTCTGATGCATAAACTACATAACATGAGTGCATATATAGTGCAGAATGAAATATTTATGAAACTGGTCAAAAGACAAAATGCAGTTATACATTAATCTAATTGACTATATTAACTATGCAGAAACTACTCTTATGGGCATACTGAAATTAAATCATATGTGTTGTACAAATTATTTATAAGAGTGGTAAACAGAAAATACACTGTGTACAACACACGATTGTTAAATACATTTTATGTGGGTGTACACAAACAGTACCACTGATTCTGAAGACAACGCTGACACTATCAACTCCATTCATACGCATGTTACTCTTCAGTGACACCGCTAGACTTGGCAGTGCAATGGAAACACCTGAACTTCACAATGGATACTACTGTCAGAGGTTTTAACATTAACGCCAGGTCAAAGCCACAGCCGTGAACAGTGAAAACAACATTTATCTGGTTACAGTATCAGATCCAGCAACAGATTAGCTAGTTAGCATGTTAGCTGCTAAACTTACGTTAGACGATCCAGTTCGAACAATGGTGACTTCTCCTCGTTTTTGCTTTAATCTCTCACAAGAATAAAAAACATGGATTCTTTTTAAAAGTTAATGGGTGTCTGTAATTTAGAGACAAACTGTACTACATCCAGCCTAGCACTTCATTATCATTTAACTTTTTCAAAACTTTAACATCGATGAGAAAGGAAAACCTTGTGGCTGTACTAGCGTATGTGTTTTCGACAACCAACCAATCAGAGGACGAGATTCAAAGATAGCCACGCCCCGAATAAGTTATTGGACCAATAGATTTGAACAGAAAAGAGATGACGTATACCCTAATACTGTAGCTGCCCTTGGAGACACTCCTCTTACACGTTTTAACCTGATAGGAATACTATTGCAAAACAACGCTTACCATGTTTCAACATCATTACTAAATCTTTCTATTGAAGAATTAAGAAGAACAAAGAACTTAAAAAATATAAATAAATAAATAAATAAATAAAGTAAAAAATGTAACAGACAGACGTCGATCAATGACTACTGTAAATCCAAACCAAATCAACAGAATACTTTATTTTGAAAATCCTGCTATAATACTAAGATTAAGAACTGTACTCTCCCATGATCATATTTTATCCAAAGATAAAGCAATTCACTTTAAATTCATCATATATCCGAATCCTTTGGATTAAGATTAGATTTTGAAAGTATTGTCTACTGTTTTTAATGCGGGTACTGGAACTACAGAACTACAAATTCTTTTGTTGCTGTCACTCCCAACTATACTGAACACAAATGCAAGAATGTTTTTTAAGTAAAATAATTTATCTGTTGCTCAGATAACCTGCAGATGTAATGTCAAATGAAAAACGTAAACTCCACCCACTTTTAATGCTTTCTATATTTCTGTATGTTTCAGTTTCATACCTGAAATCTGAATAGACCCAGAATTTAGCCGACTAACTTTTTTTATTTTCTATTATTTACAATTCAACGTATTTCAATTTATTTTCAAAATTTCTATAGTTTTATTTATTGTTATTATGAATTTCTTTATGTTCAGAATGTGGTGGGTGGGTGAGTGGGTAGGTGGGAGGGGGTTGTTGTCTAGCAACCAGACTCTGCCTGTACGATGCCAGTTCAGCTCCAGACGTCCAGCGCTGCCCTGTCGGCTACATTATTAATGATGCCACAGAAACTAAACCTGTCCGAGAAACCATATGTCGAGAGAGAAAGACACAGAAACACTGTCGGCTACCTAGTTTCAAGATTATGTCAGGCAGGAGCACGGCTGTGGATCGGATCAACTTCAAACCATGATGTCGCAATGCTGAAGGAGCCATAAACAGAGTAAGTTACAAACACTACTGACATGAAAGTGAAAATATAGTACAGACTTGTAGTACAGGAACTGTTGATTTGAACTGAAGATTTGATATTGCATAAGTTCGGCTTTGCAATGTAATAGTTTATATCTTTCTTATAATACCACAGAGGTTTTACAGTAGGCTACTCACACATGTGGGACAAAACTAAAACATTTACTCAAATAGTGCAAGTTACTACTACTAATACTAATACTACTACTACTACTACTACTACTACTACTACTAGTACAATTTTAGGAACTTGTACTTTATTTCAGCATATTCTGCTACCTCTTACTTATATCCCACTACAATCCAGAAGCATTGTACTTTTTACATTTATTTGAAGGATATAGTTACTATATTTACAGATTATTACTATACACAAATTATAATTTTACATGCAAAACATATAATGCATTTTTACTGATTAAACCCAACATAATATGGACAACTCCATTGACCATCTACACCATTAAAATGCTGCCATTATGTTAATTAATGCATACTATAATTCTTCAATAATAACATTTCATAATAATATAACACTGAAAGGTGCCAATATGCTGCAAAATGAGTTATTTTACCTTGAAAAGATATCAACACTTAAATAAAATATAAAATGCAAGACATTTACTTGTAATGTGAGGAGTTGCTACTCTTATTGAAGTAAAGGATTTGCATATTTCCTCCAACACTGTTTCTCTCACGCACAACTTCTTCCACATATAAACATCATTCACACAAAACACTTCATGCATTTAGTGTATGTCACGCAAACGTCTGTCCACACAATGTATTGATTGGTGAATAACTGACAGCTTAGAACATTTTAATCCAATGTTGTCAGCTCACAAGTTGTGTTGCTAAGTGATGAACAGGTGCTCCATCCTCTTTTCTTACCCCCTTCGTCTTATCACAGGTGAAGAGAGGTTGAATAGAGCGTCCGCTTACATTTTCTTTTACAGAGAAAGTGTCCATGGAGGGAGATCCAGAGGAATCAGATGAGGATCATCAGGGACCCACTGTGCTGTGGGAGAAGTGCATCCAGCAGAGCATCTTTGTCGACCTAAGCGAGGATGAAAGTCTTCACTTAAGTGATTTGGAGAATTCTTTAGCTTTACATCTCTCCCAGGCAGAGTCTGCTGCCTCTGAGGCCAGCATCCATCTCAGTGGTAAGTCCTGGAGTCACTGCAGTGTCCATTTGTCTGTTGAGTGTTACAACGTCTACGGACTGTACTGAACTGGACATAACACTGTCTGTGTTGTAACACATGTAGCAAAGTTGGTATTTATGTTCTTCAATTTTCAGGGAGCGCAGAGCTGTCAGCCTTGGATGACACCTCCTCGGAGTCCAGTATTGTGAGCAGTCAAAGTGAGAGGGTGGTAGAGAACAAGACCAAGAGCAGCATACTGCATGTGTCTGCCCAGAGACCAAACACCATGCAAGATGAGCCACCCTTAAAGCGTGAGTACGAGGACCCAGGTGAGAATACTAGTGACGAGGATCAGGAGGACCTACCTTATGATGTTGACCTTGGAAGTCTGTACTTCAACCAGACAGCTGGCTCTGAGGGCAACACGAGCTCTGACAGTAGAGAAACTGTTCATGCAAGTCCTGATGGCCCTGGTCTGCTTGAGTTGACTACAACAAATGGAGATGACACCAGTGAATGTTTGGTTTCTGTTGAGAGTAATGTTGAGAAACCAAAAGTTTTGTCGCAAGAGGATGTTGTCTTTTTTGATGCTTCCAAGCCAAGTGAGGTTTCCCCATCATGCCCTTGTCCTGCAGACATTAACCAGTTGCTGCTGCGACACTTCTCCCAGGAAGAGTTGCTGAGACCAGGTAGGCTAATCGAGGCAGAGACCCTGCCGGAGGTGTCCCTGCTGGAGAGCATGGACGACAATGTTTTGAGCTGGGCTCCAACACACAACACGGCTATTCATAGTAACCACTCAGGGAGCTCTGCTTGTAATTCTGAGATTAATCAGAATGTCTTCTCTGGCAGGACTGATGAAAATAGTCATGCTGCATCAAAAAATTCAAGTTTAGAGGAAGAGGTCGAAAGGAAAATTGATAATTCCGCCTCTGCTGCTGACAGCGTTGCATCCAGCTGTGCAAGTATAGACTCAAAGCAGAGCAGTGGGGACAAGAGTGCTGTAGATGTAGTGAAGCTGGAAAAGTTTGAAGAGGACAATCAAGTAGAGAAAGTCCCACTTGTGCGAACCAGGTCCTTCAGCGAGATGAAGTATGGCCAAGGCCAAGTCCATTACCCCCTCCCTGACTTCTCTAAGGTTGCCCCCAAGGTAAAGATCCCCAAAGCTCCAAGTGGACCTGCCAAACCTGTTCCTCAGGAGACCAGCACCATGCACAGAGCCCAGTCCTCTCCGGGTATGTTGGAGGTGATCAGCAGAGTCCTGGAGGATTCAGTCCAGCCCTCAGAGATGCCTTATGTCTTCAAAGATGAGGAGAAACAGACTCATCCAGCGCTGGTGCATCACCTGCAGGTAGAAAACCGCAAGAATTTACTCTTCACAGCACACATGTTCCTACGCCTTTTGGATTCCTTTGCTTTAGTTTCCTCATGTAACAGATATGTAAATGCTATTAAGGACAGATATTTAACTTGTTCCTTCTTTCTTTAGGCTGAATATGATAAATTACTAACCAAATATGCTGAGGCAGAAAACCTTATTGATAAAATGAGAATAGGAACCAATGTAAGTAAAACCGAAACCACGCAGGTGTTTGAGAAATCAAAATAAGTAAAAAGTCAAATTTTCAATGCAAGTTACAAATTTATTGAACTTGTTTTTGCAGACTCAGCCCTCCTCAGAACTAATGCTGTATTCAGAGTGTGAAGATGATCATCAGAGAAACGTAGTTGAGGGAAGCCATCTTGGATCCTTGACTCCTCACCGTCCCCCATCAGGTTCGTCTCTGTATCTGACATCTGATATTATGACGGACATCGCTTTGCTTCACTACCTGCAAATTATGCAGCGAAGTGCAACTGGTTTCCATAGAGACGAATGGGGTCAGATGACTCTATTCTAGTTACACAAACATCTTAACTTTGCTCTTGGGCCACTCTAAACAATGAGTGTAAACTGGAGAACCTGACCACACTAAAATATTTCAGTTTTAAATTCTGTATCATATTTTCAAAGGTCATCAGTAACTATATGCATCATGTGCAATTTTTAATTCTTCATACAAAGTCTACACTTAAAGTAAAAAATATTAGATGTAAATAAAGGTCAGAAAAAATAATCCCTTGTTTTCAGAAAACTTTGGTGAAAAAGGAGGAAGAGCCCCCGAGAGCAACATTGCGGAGGTGAACGCAGCTTCCTCCAGCCCGCCTGAAGAGGATCCCAGTGATGGGGAAAGAATGACTGCTGAGCTGAGAGACATCATCAGCTCGTTCATGCGGAAGGTAAGTTTGAAGATATTACCAGATTACCATTAAATAAAACATGCAAAACGACACATCTAAATGGATTCTTCTACACAGGTGGAGGAATTCAAAGAGGGTGTAAGCATCATGTCAGTGAGCACAGCAGAACAGCAAATGGTAAGAAATGTTTACATCCTATACATGGTAGCCTATATGACTTTTGATATTCATTTTATATATATACAGTATATATATATATATATATATATTATATTTTATTTATTTCAGGTGAACTATCATTTTTAATAACTATGTGGTTCCTTTTTTACTTCTGGATGCGCCTAAATGTGAAATTTGTCTTTTGTCAGATGCTGAGGAGCATGATGGAGGCTCAGGACCAGCTGGAGAGGAAATACATCAGTAAGAAGGAGGAGCA